TGTAATGAGGAGTACCCAAATTGCATCCATACTTAAATTCACATCCTTAAAAATCGTATAACAGATTTTTTGTTTTATTTCTTCAAATATTTAGAACAATTTGACATTAATTCATGCTCCTATTCATTTTTTAAGAAATGGATGCTTGTAACATATTTTATTTGCTCACTTTTAAAAGATGATTTTTTGTGGACGTCGCATGGCGACGATTCCATAGATTTTACTTTTCAGGTGAATACTTCATCTGATGTCAGATGATATGTACTGTGAACGTTTTGTGCATATCTATATGTAGTTCGCTATGTTGGTAGACGTTCCTAATGTCAAATCATGAAAATACAAATTGTTGAGTCTCGAATAAACGCTTGTAAGATTTCCGCTGCTTTTTTCGCTAAATAGGTGCAATTTGGGTATTCGGTGCAATTTGGGTACTGTGACGTTACATGATTAATAAAACAGAAGTGTTATCTTGTGTTAATTTTATTTGATGGGTTTATTAATGTGTTTTGTTTGTTTTCCTTTTTTATCTTGAATCTGTCCAAACAATATATGATTAAAGGGGGATAACACTTTTTACTCAACTATATTACAGATATTCGTAATAAAAGTAAAATTACTTGTTTAAGTAATATACCCGATACGCGTAATATTACTTAAATAAATAATCGCCTGGACTGAATAACAGGCTCCTGACTTAGGACAGGTGAATAAAAATGCTGCGGGTTTAAACGTTTTAACAGGCGCCAACCTTCACCCTAACCTGAGACAGTAGTGTAACTTTACAACATAAAAAGACACACTATAAAATATCAATTGAAATGACTTAACTCGATCAAAAAGACATTTAAACAAAAACAAGTAAACATACACTGAACGAATAAGTTTGATCTATGACACAATATAAATACAATATTAAAACGTAGGTGTCTATATAACATAGATGTTACAGGTAGTAATAAAAAAGATGTAGGAAGAGTGTCAATAAGACAACTCTTACCTGGGACAAAACGGCGTTAAATAAAACAACGCAGGTAAATTTAAATATAATAATTTTGTTGTTAGGGGTACGGAAGTAAACATTTTTTTAAAAAGTGTCTCGAGTTATGTATGTATAGTCGAGACATGCGTATGATGTCACTAGTGCATTATATGTTTGGTATCTTTGATAAAATTGCATGAGAATGGAAATGGGGATGTGTTGTTTAGTTTTAATTATATTTCATATTCAATATAAAGTATCTTCACAATGAATGTTTCGCACTTTTCAAAAATATTTTTTTAAGCATATACTTTTTGCGCTTTTCATGATATCCAGGAAAAATATCAGTTTCCGTTAGCATGGTTAGGTCATGGAAGTATTATATTGTCAATATAATACTTCCATGGTTTTCCGATCTGATCCTGAAAAAAACAAACAAATACTTTTTTGGGTTAATAGTTTATCTTTCCTTCGAATCTATATACACTTAGTCATGACTATTAACACGTTGCATATACACAACATGTTAACAAGTAATAGCATATTGACGCACATTATTCATACATAAAAACTATCACCAGTATAGTATATTGATTTGAATAAACGATGTTTTTTATATTTCCATCTTTTATTTTATTTTTCAATGGATAACTTTTTTTTTTAATAGAAAGCTGGTCTAAGATACTATATGTACATGAACTTAAGTGACCCTCTATTTAGTCAGGCGGAAACTTTCACAGATGATGTTGGCTGATTTTTTTATGGTACATACATCTAAATGTGCTTAAACTTGATGAAGAGTCAACAACATTAAAAATGTAGACGTTTCGTCCATAATACAGAATTATTAACCATCAGTATTAGTTTCCAGTTTAAGAACTTTAATTCCCTTGTTTGAATTCAAATGTCATTTTTCGACAATTTGATTTAAGACAGTGCCTGTGATTCGATTAGAGACCAGTATTCTTTATAAATTCATTGAAACAATTATATTTTATGTCATTTTGTAATGTTGAATCAATCAAATTTCATTGGAAGGCTCTTCGTTTTGATCAAGATTTAATTCGTTAAAAAATCTTGTACGTGACTAAATCAATGTTCTACAGAGATTAAGAGCAATAAGAGGCCATGTCATTTTATCTCTATTGAATACAATAAGATATTGATAAGATGGCCTGATAAGATAAAACCATGAAACTATGTTGAATAGCTCATTTTCGTCCAACCATTAACTGACTTGCTCATATTTTAACTAAAAAGATGTAAATTTACGATTCGTTTAAATTTTTATCCACAAAGAAATAACTACTTAAAAATCCCGAAATGTCACCGTTATCATTTTGCAATTAGTGGGAGTGACTATCGGAAGTTTTTGGACCTTATCGATAAAATATTCGGAAAACTCTAGAAACCTACGAACGGATATCAATCAAAACATTTTGTTCTGCACAGTTCAGATGCGGAGATATCAGGTTTCAAATAGCAAGAGACTTTTCAAGAAAGTGCGTGTGCTCTTTGCCACGTATGCCGAGTTTTGTTGTAAAGAAACTGCATGTTGAATACAATTTAACATTAGACATCCGGTTGAAGAAGAAACACAAAAAGAGACAAAATGAACTTTTTAGTCTGCTTTTGTATAATCGGACTTTTGTCTTCTGTTGTGATTAAATGTTCTGATGTTGGTAAGCGAATTTTAATTTTATTGAGAATGTTGAATATATTAACGGTGTGAATGAACATACAGACAAGATCTGTGAATAGTGTTTTAATTACAGGATAATACATTTTTGATAATACACTTTTATCCCACTTTCACTTTAATTTTTAAACAAAAACACTTGTCAAAATACACTTATTTTAAAAGTCTACTGTATCTACATTTATACCTTAACCATGATAACATTGAGAAGTTTTAATTAGCACTTCTGTTGAATTTATTGTCATCCAATTGTTGGACAATTGTTTAGTCAAAATAAAAATAATAAGAATTACACATTCATGACATTACAAATAATAAAAAAAAATTGATATTTATAATTTTATAAATGGAAATATTTTTTTATTTACACACATTATTATGGGTACAAATCAAACACACGGATATATTTTTTTGGTAATACTTCATGTTTATGCCTGTTTGCTTTGCTATTCTTACAACGAAATGTTATCTATACTATTAAATGAGAAGTGTGTCGCTTCTCTTCCTTCCACCATGTCCACAATAAATTAATCATTATGCCATCTGTTTCCTATAGGTACCATGCATCATGTGCATAGTCGCATTTGTCATCCTCGCTTATGATTATTCCATTTGGGTTTTGGGAGGAAAACGAAAATAAAGGCGTCCGTTTATTTTTTCCATCATCTGACGGGCTTTTAAGTCATAGACAAGACTTCTGTTTAGGACTGTTTAAATTTACACAGAATTTTGGTAAATTTACAAACAACCCTTAATTCCTAACTTGATTACATACAATGTTTTGGGTACCTGAGCTAGCCTATAGGAACCAGTATCAAACATTCCTTCAGTCCCTGGAAGCGATATAAATCCGATTTCTTGGGACCCCAGGAACCGGTATATAATCATGTTTTATTTAAGAAATAATTCATGCAAGCCATAGATTTGTTGGAAATTTTCACATGGCCTAGGTAGTTTAATATTGGAATTTTAAATTGTGCGTAAGCAAGGGATAAAATTACCGAATATAACGACCCAGGCCATGTGAAAATGAAAACAAATCTATGGAATGCATGAATTATTTTGATTCTAATATAGTAAAGTTTCTCAATGAAAAGTCTGAAGCCATTTCAGTAAAATATGACGTTGTTGTGCACAAATCGCATTGTGACGTCGTCGATTTTTAGTGGTTGTGATTTATTGAGTATTTTATTATGGCTCTATGTCATATGACGTAATAAGCACATCATATTAGAAAAAAATATGCTTTCTTAAAAGTCAACACTTATTAAGTCGGACGCCATTTCCAGATTTCAGTAAAATATGACGGTTTTGTGCACAAACCGCATTGTTTATTGAGTATTTTATTATGGCTATATTCATCATTCCAATCTTATTTGCAAATATCACATAATAATCTGATTTCATTAGTGGAATCCTTTTCGAGTGACTGAAATTGAAAAGGTTAACATATCGATTATTCTGTCTTCTGCACAACGAAACAAAAAAACATGGTGACAAAGCAACTCGCCTCCTAATAATTGTGTGTTCATGTTTCTACAAATAGTTGACCTTTGCACTGACATTCTTTAGATTTACATATTTTACAATATTTTGAACTGGTGAAAAATTCAAAATGTTATATTGACATCAGTTCATGTTTAAGATACTTTTGATACCTTTCCTGAAATTCTCCAGTCATAAAATATTTACAATATTCATTTTACATCAATTTACATACTTTCAACCACGCTCTAAATGCCCACCATTTTGCAGGTGTGTTCTAGTGATTATTGAAATGTTAATCAGATTTACTGCTCTCAGCATGAAATGACTTAATAACCATGATAACATAATTGGTTTGAATCAAAATGACTATGAGTCAGTTCATTTATATAGAGCAGTAAGAACCAACTCTTTTTGAAGTACACCACTAATTCATGGCCCCATTACTTTCTATGTTAAATTCCTCAATTTCAAGCAGACTCAGCTCTTTTGTTTCAAGTTCAAATAAAGTTACAGTCATTGCATGTCAAAGCAACACTTTATGGTGTCTTGTACTGGAAAAATCAACATACCTTTAATGGCATATAAGAAAGAACTGGTTCCCGGAACTTTGGATGTACCAAAACAGGTACTTCAGATCTGACATACAGGCAAAAAGTACTCTCTTTATAAAATTTGGTGCATTTTTTTTAATATTCAAAATTATAAGTCAAAAAGTGTTCTACAATGATCACCAGTCATTCAGCTTTCATTTGATACCAACAATACCTAAATATTCTACATATTTTGAAAGTTACACTCATGTGTAGGAACTATTTTGTGTTAAATATGTACTACTTTCTGGTATGTGCTTTCTGGCTGGGCCGAATTAGTGGTGTTACACCTATAACAGAACCAAACTTGCTAAATTGACTTCAGCATTACTTTATTTCATTCTATGATCTATTTCAAGCAATAAAAAACACATAAAGCTTAAGTCCAAATACTATTTTACTAATTTTAAGCTCAAATTGGACTGGTAGTAACATATAGGTTATTCAAAGAAAACTGCATATGGATATTATAAATGGCCAATATACTTATTTTATTCTCAATATCATTGTTGTATTTAATAATTTCTGTTAGGAAAACAATGTGCTTACCAATAGTCATATTTCACCAGAGTTTGTTCATTTAATAAAAATATATTAGACCAAACCTAAGACATAATTGAGAAAATTGTTCCCCCTTTTTTCTTCAAATTGGAAAAGGGACATTTTAGGTATAAACCATACTTCTGTGGTACAACATAGATAATAAAGAGCAATTTATATATTTTCCAGCTGGATAACTTGCTAAACTGGTTCAAAATTGCATGTACAGTGAGATTTTGGAATTCTTATATGAGTATATACCAATTGCTTAGATTGTAAAAGGCTATCATAAGAAAACCAATAAAACTTGAAAAATCATAGGATTATTTGACCAAGAGCTATTTTTTTTACCAGAAACAAGTCATTATATACATGTTTTATTGATTGCAATCCCAAATAATGCAAAAATAAGAATTTGGAGTCAAGTCTTAACTGCATGCATGTTGTGTGACCATAAAAGGCTAAAATACCTGATTATGTCAATTTAAGAGCTGAAATTTCCCATAAACAGAATTGTTCATCCAAAAAAGATGATTAAACATGTTTACTTACATCAAATATGACTTATTTTTATTGGAATAGGTACAACTTCTAAAAATTGAATTTCTGATGATTCTCTGTAATAGGAAGTACACCACTAATTCATGGCCCCATTGCTTTCTATGTTAAATTCCTCAATTTCAAGCAGACTCAGCTCTTTTGTTTCAAGTTCAAATAAAGTGACAGTCATTGCATATCAAAGCAACACTTTATGGTGTCTTGTATTGGAAAAATCAACATACCTTTAATGGCATATAAGAAAGAACTGGTTCCCGGAATTTCGGATGTACCAAAACAGGTACTTCAGATCTGACATACAGACAAAAAGTACCCTCTTTATAAAATTTGGTGTATTTTTTTTAATATTCAAAATTATAAGTCAAAAAGTGTTCTACAATGATCACCAGTCATTCAGCTTTCATTTGATACCAACAATACCTAAATATTCTACATATTTTGAAAGTTACACTCATGTGTAGGAACTGTTTTGTGTTAAATATGTACTACTTTCTGGTATGTGCTTTCTGGCCGGGCCGAATTAGTGGTGTTACAAGTGAATTGTAATGCAATGTTTGACATGAAAGTGAAACAGTAATTTAATATTCATGTACTAGACTTATTTCAGCTTAAAGATTTCAGGAATGAAATTAAGGTCTAACATATCAGTAGATACCAATACCATGTACAAATGTATGTTCAATTAAAAGAGGCTAAAAATTTAAAGAGTTAAATATTGAAAATGATTTTATTTTAGTCTGTCAGTTTATTGTGTATCAGTTTGTGGTAGCTTTAATTTTATTATCAGATTTTATGACATATATATTACTTCAAATCTCTGTTTTTGGTAAAAGTTTAAGGATAAGTGAGATTAATTGAAATGCATATGGAAAAAAAAAGATGTGAGACAGCAAAAAAAATAAATTAACAACATGAATAAATTAAGATACAGGACAGGTACTAATGTACATATTTAAGTAAATAGAGAATTTAAAGTCTAACTGATGAATATAATGAACAAGCACTTACACATATGGGAACCTTTAAACCACTCTTAGTTGTGGACAAGTTCTTGATGAAACCATCAGATCTAAACACTATCAGTACAAGCACTTACACATATGGGAACCTTTAAACCACTCTAGTTGTGGACAAGTTCTTGATGAAACCATCAGATCTAAAGATGACTAAAGAATTTATTACCACCATATTTTATACAAATATAATAGTATAAAACTTTGTGTTGCTCAATTTGTTGTTTTCTGTTTGATATTATGTGAACTATAAATGCAGTGTTTCATTTTGTATGGAGCTTTTTTCTTTTTAGCTATGATGTTTTCTATTCTTCTTCTGCAACTGATTTGTGATTGGCCCGTTGAATTAGAATCTTGAATTAAAAAAAGATGCATATGAACATCATGAAAAGTCAGATCACAGACAACCTCAGACAACCTCAGACAATATCTTGATTCTTTGATGGGCTTTTTGATGTCTGCAAAGAGTCGATATAGTAAACAAAGTTACCATGTATATATGTTAGAATCTGATTGACGTTTGGTCTCTAATTGATGTCCGTTCTTCAAATTGATGTCCAATGTAAAGCCACATTCTTGATTCAGTGTTCAATATTTTTACCCTCTAATTGACGTCGTATTTACCAATCAATGGATCAGAGTCTCCTCTCATCAATGTCCAATATTATTTTTTCTGAGTTTGGTCTTTGTTTAATTTTATATCTTTTTGTCTGTGTGTAAAGCTGCTTAAAGAATCGCTAATTGTTTTCATACATGCATATATCTTTTAGTGAACAATATCCCGTCCCAAATAACCAACTACATTTGTAAATTAAAAAAAAGGACACACATCAGTAAATGACAATAAGACAAACACCAACATCATATTACATGTATATGTACACAAATGTACATCATTGTACATGTACATGCATATTAATATTTTTGTGAAAGAAGCTGCTTATCCACTGGATCTACGATGTCTTATTCCTTTCGCATTCATATACATATAAATAGATGACATATGGATGCACGAAAATGAGACAACAATCCAACAACAAAGGTAACTGAAATTAACCTAGGGGACAATAAAAAGTCTCAAACAATAAACAGAATAAAGAAATACATGTATAGTCTATTGTTGAAAAGTATGAAACGTCATGGCGGCAAGTTTTCTGATTAAGTTAGTTTGATAGGAACTACTTGTGATAGATCATTGATATTTAATATAAAGTTGCATGCATTACTGCCAGTACATATCAGTATGACAACTATTTTGAGGCCCTGTCCCCTAGGTCATGGTCCAGTGACTTTGAATTAATTAGCAATTTTCAATGTTAAGTTTTCTGCTTAAGTTAGTTTGATAGAATCTACTTGTGATAGGACTAAGGTCAATGACATTTTTATAAAGTTGTATTACTATCAGCACATATCAGTTTGACGACTATTTTGAGGCCCTGCACCCTAGGTCATGGTCCAGGGACTTTGAATTAATAAGCAGTTTTCAATGTTAAGTTTTCTGCTTAAGTCAGTTTGATAAGAACTACTTGTGATAGATCAATGATATTTTCTATAAAGTTGCATTACTATCAGTACATATCAGTTTGACAACTATTTTAAGGTTCTGCCCCCTAGGACATGGTCCAGTGACTTGTGGAATTGGAAATAATTAGCAAATTTCAATGTTAAGTTTTCTGCTTAAGTTAGATGTACATTTATAACTGTGTTTATTCTTAATATATTACCTATGTCATATTTAAAGTTGCATATATATATATATATATATAAGATGAACTACTTACAATGTATTCTATATATAGAAAATATGTCTATATCATTGTATATAGACAACAATATTTTCTATAAAGTTACATTACTGTCTGTACATCTCAGTTTGTCGACCATTTCTAGGCCCTGCTCACAAGATCATAGTCCAGCGACTTTGAATTAATAAGCAATGTCGCTGTCTATCAGATTGTCTTTTTTTTAAATTTAATGCCGACAGGCGAGACATATCTCTGTGTCAACAGTTTATTGACCTTATCACCTTATGTCCAAGTTGTAAGTAATACCAGTTTTATATATATGTGTAATTGTAGGTTTCATTAATTGGTCTACTCTATATTTACATGTATATCTTTCCAGAGTTACTGGCAGTCACAATAGCTACAGATGAAACTGATGGCTTTAGGAGATATGCTGAATCAGCAGATAGATATGGAATTAAACATAAGGTAATAGATACTCATACAAATTATTTATTAAAAAGATGAACATCTATTTTCCACAACAACATCTTAAAAAGTTTCCATTGGTATATTTTTTTTAGGAATTTGTCCAACATCCCATCCTTGCATGCCATTATACATATGTACACAATGTAGGGAGACCTTTTTTGTCTACAAATTATATTGGAAGTGACATATTAGAAAGAATATGGTACATGTATTCATTAAAAAAACATGAAGAAAAAATTTAATCTACATGCTATATGTTTTGGTTTGTTCAAAACAATATTAGAACAAAAGACTCAGCTGGAGATTTATACATTTTATAGTAGATTTTTTGAACATGATGTACAATGTATGTTCTAAAAGATTGACCAGTGTCTTCTCAATCAGGTTTCCTGAAATTCGCGAAGGGAAATCAAAAAGGTAATAAGAGCTATTTAACAGAAATCTGACCCTTACTATCCATTCTTTTCCAGTTTGACATGTCCTTCAGGAAAACAGCAAGCTTTTCCTAAACAGCATGTGACGGGTTGACTTAAATTTGAAAACTCTCATGAATGTACCGGTAATACTACTTTTAAAATACATGTACAATTATACAGCATACATGTATTTACATGTCATAAGATGTAAAAGAAATCTTCCATCATGTTCATGTTTGAGATTAAGAAAAATCTTAATGCAAACAATACATGTATTGGAGATTACAGGTTTGGACTGTTGCACATGCATGACATGTACATGTATAAACATGATAAAAAGTGAATAACAATGACTCAATGAGACTACCAAAACTGTATAAAAATCATTCTTTTAATTTACATTCATTGACCTTATGAAGTTGTTGTTCTACACAATGAAAGTTGTATAAATAGAGACATGTACCTGCCTATATTACATCTTTTTACCATATATGATTCATGAGTTGCAACAGTTGTAGTTCTAGGGTAGGATTTCCTTTACAGTTTTTTGTTGTTGAAAATATATAACTTTGCTGGTTTTTGGAAAGTGGTATTTTGTACAAAGTGATAAAAAATGCAGGAAAGGGTATTCATGATATACATGTTTAGCCACATCAACTTTGTAGCTAGAATAAAATATCAACAAATATTGTACATGTAGTAGAAACTGAGTGACAACACCTTTCCAAAAAGGAGATAACTGTTTAAAAAAACTTCCTGAGTGAAAATTCGAAAGGTAGACCATTTTTTTGGTCCCTTGAAAATGTTGAGTTCAAAAATCTAAAATTGTTATGAATCTACCTAATAACATACTTCTGATTTTCATATGACAATTTTTCAGTTTCAATCATTTTGAATTTGTATTACATTTTTGTACATATTTGATTTTAAGGTTAGAAACTATTTAACTGCAAAACTGCCAAAAAAGCCTCATTTTGAGATCATGTCATTAATATTTAGATATAAGCAAAGGCTTTTAACACAAAAGGATAATTTGCTACAAATTTTTTTTTACAAAGATGCAAATGTGTGTAAAATATCTTTTGGGTATGGCCTTGGATCATACATGTACATGTATCCATTTGACCAAAAGCTGAATGGCCATTTTACAATGTTAGGTCAAATATGTCAATTTTGACATGTTTATGACGTAAGAGCAATCACAAGTCTCCTTTCTGTCCTAAAGTGTCAAGATTATATTAGCCTGATCATGTATTAATTCATGTTGCTATTCCAAGTTACAATTGTTCTGTATAATATAAGGACAAATATTTTGACAAAATGTTGATAGATCCAATGTTTCTTAAAATTCTTTTTGGTAAATCAGATAGGTTGTGATCAAGTTTTCTTTCATATTTATTGTTTTTCTATGAATCAATAGTGCATTATTTTGACGTGCCTTATTTGATTATATAAAACCTGGCCAGTTTCTGATATTTATAAGAATGCAATAAAAGTGTATTAGGCTGAAAAAACAATCATGGATTAGAAGAAGAAGGCAGTTTTACCCATAAATGGTCTACAAATGATATTATTATGATACTTATGTGGTGGCAACATGTTTCTTTTATTTTATAGTTCATGCAATAAAGAATTGATGAAAAGTGAAGTGAAAAATAATTTCCACAATTTTCCGATTGATTGTTTTAACATCTTCAGGTGACTTTTGCAATTATTCACAAATTGATGTTATGAACATAGAATTAATTCTGTATTTACAATGCTAACTTGATTTAAATTGAAATATCTACATCTTATCAAAAGGTGTTCATCTTAAGTAAGTACTATTTAATACATGTATAAACAACAGCTGCTGTTCTTGGTTGTTTTACACCTATTTAAAAATATGTTACACTATATAATCGTGTCGATTTTGTTTAATAAAAGTAAAAATCAGTAGTTTTGAATAATACCTGTTGATGTAAATACATATAATATCATTATTTACTTGATTGACTCAGATTTATTTGGTTACTTAATTTTTAAGAGCCTACTTAAATGGCAGATGTACTTCCCTGACCTATTGTACTTGTTGTCATAGTAGTTATTTCCTTGGTGAAATATGCATATTGTTTCGTGACTGGAATTCTTGTTTGACATTCCATTCAAATTTGTGTCCATCTTACGCATTCTAAAAAACACTTGGTACTTAAATAAAGTTTGAAAGAGTTAATTGCATGTACATGAAAATAAGGAGATGCAGTAGGATTGCCAGTGAGATAACTGTCTATAAAGGACATAGATGTGAACAATTTCAGGTCATGGTACAGCCTTAAAAATGAGCAAAGTCCATACCATATATATAATAAGATATAAAAGGGCCGGGATGACAAAATGGGAAACAATTCAAAGGAAAAACAACATTTAACAATAGGCCATCCTTAAAACAGTACAAAACTACAAAGACAAACTGAATATTGAGCAACACAAACCCTTAAAAAGAACTGGATTAATGACAGACATTCAATTGTTGTTCCTCTGATATTTCATTTATTTCATAGCATTATTATGGTTTGTTGTCTCCTATCTTTATTTTTTATTCCTGTCATTGTATCTTTCCTCCGATTAAGGGAGACATTATGTATTTGTAATGTTTCTGCATCTGGTTTGTCTCGTACAACCTTGTCTGGGACAATTTTTTTTTTATCTTGTTACACTGACTTATGATTTCAGGCATGAAGGTGTATTACCATAAGACGGTGTGTAAGATCTCATCATGACCTTCATGTGAACTTGTCTTTTACCTTATAATCAAAATACTTCATTTTTCTTTTGACATTTTCGTGTCTAGAACATGACCTGGGACCTTGACTGATGTCAAATGATTTTTATATGTCCACTCCAAAACCATAAATATTTTTGTATGGCAAGTGAACCTTTTCTATGCAACCATGGTTTTGTCCCCAGAGGGTCATGGCCCACTCCTTCATATATTATACATGTGAATTGTTAACTATCATGACTATCTAAAAATGGTTAATATCCTCACTCCTTAACCATATATTGTCTTAATTGCCTTGATAAAGATATTTTTAATTCACCATAGGTGTTGTCCCTGGGGGGGCATGTTTTGTCCCCTGCATATCATTTATTGTTAAATAGCTTAAAACTATTTATATCCCCACCAATAAACCACATAATATTCTAATACTTAGTGACAATCCCTTTCAGTACAACATCAATATTTTTGCCAGGGATCACGCCAAGCCATAGATATAAGAAGATGTGGTATGAGTGCCAATTAGACAACTCTCCATCTGTATCCAAGTCACAATTTGTGAAAGTAAACCATTATAGTTCAAAGTATGGCCTTCAACACGGAGCCTTGGCTCACACCGAACATCAAGCTCTAAAGGGCCCCAAAATGACTAGTGTAAAATCATTCAAACAGGAAAACCAATGATCTAATCTATACAAAAAAACGAGAGACACTTATGTACCACATCAACAAACGAAAACATGCCCCTTTTGAAAAAAAAAAAAAATTTTGGAGGGGTTCATGCTTCACCCCTCATATAAAAATGGTAAAATATACTATTAAAACCAGATATATATGATACTATTCTAGTATTTGTATTTTCCATATCAACAGGTTTTCCAGTATTAATACCTGTTTTTTTACTGGATTTACCTTTTAAAGATGAATTGGGACATTAGTTTAGTCCATTAAAACAGTTTCTACTAATTTAGTCTGCAGTTGGGTATTGTACTAAGATAATGCAAATTAACTTTTAACAGTTTCAGACCACATCGTACAGGAGGGAAAAAATCCTATAAAAGAAAACATTGCAAAAGTAGGCCACTAAAAATACTGCCACATTTTGAAACTCCTGGCCTTGGGACGGAGATTGAAAAAACATACTGCTTAATTTTCCATTTTTTTTTTCTTCAGACCTTTGGAATGGGACAGGAGTGGAGAGGAGGAGATATTGCCAGATTTTCTGGAGGAGGACACAAAGTAAACATACTGAAAGAGAACCTGTCACAGTATGCAGGAAGAACAGACCTAATTATAATGTTCACAGACAGGTATAGTACATATCATGTTCACAGTGAATGAAGGATAATGGCCAGCATTGAGGATGCGGTAGCACTGTATTTTTAGTCCCCTACCGACGAAGTCCAAGGGGACTTTAGGTTTGCAGTCCGTCTGTCCATCTGTCAATCCGTCAGTCCGGCAAATCAGCTTTCCACACTTTTTTTCTTCGTTCTTGAAGATATTGATTTGATATTTGATATATAGTTTTATCATGACAAGTTATAGATCAAGTTCGAATTTTGTTCCGGTCTGTTGATTTAGTCCAGAGTTATGGACCATAACTCTGGACCATATCTAATGTTAGAGTACTATGTCAAACCATATTTCTGTACAAAGGGAGATAACTCGTTTTTTAAACGACATTCTTAGTTAAATTATTTGAGGAATTTTTTGACAGGTTTGTTTGTTATTTAGTATAAACTAATTTTCTGAATGCTATATATATAAAAAAAAATTATGAAAAGAAATCCTTTAATTAGATAATAATCTATTTTTATTAATGTATATATTTCAATACATTACATTGTGTAGATAAAATTTGTTGACATTTTATAGATAAGTTGCAAATCTATATTAGTTTGTGACAAATGAAAGAAAAAAATATTTGGAACTATTAATTATATCTGATTATAATTTGAAAATAGATATACGCTGTATTACATCATATCTAATTCTAGAGAACTATTAATCATATCTAATGTTTTTTTCATCATGTTTATAAGATATTGATTGATAATTGGTATATAGTTTTAACATGACAAGTTACAGATCAAGTTCAAATTTTTGTTTCGGTCTAATTATTTTGTGCAGAGTTATGGTCCTTGGACTTGAAAAATTCACTCATATAATCAGTTTTCAACACTGTTTTTAGTCATGCTTGAAGATATTGACTTGATATTTACTTTTTGTTTACACACCATGACAAGTTATAGAACAAGTTAGCATTTTGTTCCAGTATAATGAATTTTTACCCGGTAGGGGACTATGTATTGACATGCAATACACTCAGAATGCTTGTTCACTTTGTCCATCCATCTGCCTAATTTTCCTACACTATAGCTTTACCTTGAATGACATTTTACTCAACATTAATAAAATTGTTAACCATTTAACATGTTTAAGGCAGAATATATGTAATTAGGCAATATTTTTTATTTTGATGAACTTTTGTATGCATTTAAAACTCGTTGAACTACATTCAAATATTGTTAAAAAAAAAGATATGTATATAGCTTTTATACTTTCAGAGATAGTCAATTAAAAAACCAGTAAAATTGGTCTTAAAAATGTATATAAAAATAAGAAGATGTGGTATGATTGGCAATGAGACAAATCTCCACCAGAGACCAAATAACAAAAGTTAACAACTATAGGTCACAATATGGCCTTCAACAATGAGCAAAACCAATACCGCATAGCAAGGTATAAAAGGCTCCGAAATGTAAAATGTAAAACAATTTAAACGAGAAAACTAATGGCCTGATTTATGTACAAAACAATTAACAAAAGCAAATGTGATATACAGAAACAAAGGACAACCACTGAATTACAGGCTCCAGACTTGGAACAGGCACAAACAGAATGTTGGGGGTTAAACATGTTTGCTTACGCCAAACCCTCCCCCTAACCTGGGACAGTGGTGTGACAGAACAACATAAGAAAAAACTATAAAAATCAGTTGAAAAGGGGTCAACTCATCAGATCGATACAATGCACACCAAAATCCTATCAAAAACACAAAAGATACAAAGTACAGATATTAGAGGTCTCACAGTTACTATAAGTGAAAGCTAGTTCAAAGCCAGTAACGAATAAAAATCATGTGTCTTAAGACTTAAAAGAGAACCTATCACAGTATGCAAGAAGAAAATGTTCACAGACAGTTTGTTAAGAATGTATTTTCAAGAGCAGCAGAAATTATACATTTTTTTTCGCTTTAAAAATGTGATTGCGCGAAAAATGTGTCGACAGAATCATATTTATTGCGGTGAACATTTCCTTTTAATGATATGAAAATATTTTGTGTTACCAGTATTCGTAGGAATTGTAAACTTTAATTTTTCATGTTACTGTATATTTGTCTTGTTTGTCTTTTTGTTCCTTCTCATAATCAGCTTTACATGTAACATAGGTCTGGTCAATAGTATATAATATAATACTAATTTTTATGATATCTCAATATAGAATATCTTAAAGACATGAAAGATGTATTACAATTTACATATTTAAATTATATAAGAACTTTTTATATATAAAAAGAAGATGTGGTATGATTGCCAATGAGATAACTCTCCACAATAGACCAAATGACGCAGAAATTAACAACTATAGGTCACCATACGGCCTTCAACAATGAGCAAAATCTGGGACAGTGATGTAACAGTAAAACATAAGAACAATCTATGCAAAACAATAAACGAAAAACAAATATGAGAAACAGCAAAAACGACAACCTGTTTGTTTTGGTTTCGGACATTACCATTTTTTTTACACATGAAATTTATATTTTACAGCTATGATGTGGTATTCACTGCAGGACCAGAAGAAATACTGGAAAAATTTAAGAAGTTTGATTGCAATGTGATATTTTCAGCTGAAGGATTTTGCTGGCCAGACGCAAGCTTAAAAGTATGATTTTTAGAAAGTCTTAGGTCTATCTGTAGATTTAATGTACTTTCCCTTACTCTTGGGTTTCGAAAGTAGATAATATAGTTTACAACTGCTTATAACATGTATAAAAAAGTTTGTTTATTGGTTTGGATTTCTGTTTTGTTTTTTTTTTGTGTGATAAATTCTGTTGTTTGATTGCTTGCTGTCTCATTGATATTTATATCAGATTAAATATTTGTGGGATGAATAAAAGGAGATGCGATATGAGTCAATGAGATAGAAACACGATGAGACAAAATACCAAAAAGCATATAGAGGTCATCATATGATTTTTAAACAGGCAGTTGTCTATACAATATGTTAAACTTGAGCTCCAATTCGCCACTAATCTTTCAAAGTTGTGAATAAATTTTACTGAGACTTTCAAAAATCTGCCATCAACACCAATCTCTACAAATGACAAAAAAAACATTGAGATATCTGATGTGTCAAAAGACAACCAATGGTAAGGCTCCCGACTTGAGACATGCACATGAATTTGTGACAGGGTTAAACTATTTTCTGGGACCTCAACCATCCTTCTTTACGTCTTAAGCAGAAACCTTTAATAGGTATTTAAAAGAACATACAACAAAGAATAAGTTCATAAAACACTTATTTTATCTGCTTTTAGTATTTTCTGGTTTGACAAACATTGTTCAGGTAGATTTTTACACATGCAATCGGTGAGTTTTGAACCAGTTTTAAGTTCTACAATGTAGTAGCTGAACTCTTCAAGCATCTTCTGATCTGTAAATTGTTTGTCTTATCTTTTTACAGGAACAATATCCAGAAGTTAAACCTCACGAATGTAGATTCTTAAACAGTGGAGGTATGTATAATTTTACTCTTTTATTTAAATAATGTCTACCGGTATATTAAGAAATGTACCGGTAGTTCACAAATTTTTAAGCCCCCGCCGTAGCGGAGGTGGCATTAAGTTTTACCCTTACGTACATCCCAAAATTGTTTTCCGTTCTCTAACTTAAGTTTGCCTCAACCAAATGTTATGAAACTTATACACAATGCTTATTACCACAAAACACAGATCAAGTTTGAATTTTGGTGGCGTCATTTTAACCATTCTAAAGTTAGGCCCCTTTATAAATGGAAAAATTACAACATTTTTAGATTCCGTTCTCTTACTTAAGTTTGCCTCAACCAAATGTTATAAAACTTATACACAATGCTTATTACCACAAAATACAGATCAAGTTTGAATTTTGGTGGAGTCACTTTAACCGTTCTAGAGTTATGCCCCTTTATAAATGTTAAAATTGCAAAATATTTAGTTTCCATTCTCTAACTTAAGTTGCCTCAACCAAATATTATGAAACTTATAAACAATGCTTATTACCACAAAATACAGATAAGTTTGAATTTTGGTGGAGTCACTTTAATCATTCTCGAGCTATGCTCCTTTAAAAATGGAAAGAAAATGCAAAATTTTTAGTTTCCTTTCTCTAACTTAAGTTGCCTCAACCAAATGTTATGAAACTTATACACAATGCTTATTACCACAAAACACAGATCAAGTTGAATTTTGGTGGCGTCACTTTAACCATTATCAAGTTATGCCCCTTGATAAATCGAAAAATTGCTAAATTTTTAGTTTCCATTCTGTAACTTAAGTTTGCCCCAACCAAACATTATGAAACCTATACATAATACACTTTTATCGTTTTTGAGTTATATCCCTTTATAATGTTGAATGCAAGCAGGAGCATCATCTCTGTCCATGGGGACACATTCTCCATTTATTTCATTGAAAGTAATCTCTCCAAAATGTTGCTTAAATGCCTGGAAAATAAAAAATGTTATAAATTAATTGTATCAGCTGAGAGGTTTTGCTTGTCCAGTTATGTGACCGGTGACCTGAATGAAGTTAATGCAATGTTTCTTGTCAAATGTTTTTTTCTTTCTTTAAATGAAATGAAAAAGGAAGAGTATAGTGTAAATATAGACCAGACAACAAACATGAACCACTTTGAATAATCCAGATGTCCATGAAGTCAGTGATTTCTGTATAAACATAAGGATGTAGTTAGATTGCCAATAAGACAACTATCCACCAAGATTTATGGACGAGGATGTATACAACTGAAGGTTACCTTATGGGTTTAAACAATGAGAAAAACCATTCCACTGGTATGACAACATGGGAATCAATTCAAAAGAGAAAACCAGTTGTCTAATTTATATACATAACAAGAAACATATATATAACAGCAACCAAAGACAACCACTGAATTACAGACACATACAAAATGTGATGTTTAAAATGTTGGCAAGCCCTCAACCCTCCCCTAACCAAAGATAGTAGTGCGACACAACAACATAAGAACAAATTGTAAAAATCAGCTGAAAATGACTTGACTCATCAGATCAACACAAAGCATAACAAACTACTGTAAATTCAGAAATTATTGTGAGGTTTTTATTAATGGGAATAATGCGACTGTGTAAGTATAGCAATAATAAGAACCTGCATTCTGATATTTGATACATATATCTGTATGCAGCTTTTCCATAAATCGCAATAATTAATCTCGCATTTTTGTTCATTCTTCAAAAATCGCAATAATAAATGCACGCAATTAATTTCTGAATTTACAGTAAGTACTGATCTAAAAGTACTAACAGTTACTGCAAGGTAGTTCTAAAGCCAATAACAACTGTTAAATTAATAGTACATTTACTGTTCCATGACCCTAAATGCTGTTAATGTTTTGCTATTTTTAACCAATATTGTATTAGTGCAATACTTCATCATCATAGAAACTTAACTTGTTTATATTCTACTTGGAATATTATATTTCTATTGAAAAAATATATACTTGCAGGTTTCATGGGATATGCTAAAGACATTGTTGAAATAATAAATTATAAAACTATAAATGACATGGATGACGATCAGTTGTATTATACCAAGATGTTCCTCGATAAAACCACCAGAGTAAGTATTTATTATGCTTAGATTGGGTGCTTATTAGGCTCATACTAAGGGTTTATTATTTTCTTTGTCCGCCAAAATTTATACAAACCCCATTTCAATGGTGAACCAACTATGACTGAAATATGTATTCTTACAGTAATAACTACAGACAAATGCCTGAGTCAGCTGACATGAGAATAATGAGCCCAAAAGTGAAAAATAAGCATTCAATACGCATGAAAAGACATTTGATTGAATCTTAGTTACAAGTATATATTAAATTGCAAATGCATTGTTTCAATTTATTGGTTAAATTAATATATTTTAAATGATAAACAATGAATACCGTAAACATAATAGTTTCCTTGTTGAGTTTTAATTGATAAATAATAAGTTATTTTACTTTTCGCTTTATGCAACAGTGCTAGATATTAAGTTTGTCATTCCTGTCAAGTGGAAACATATTATTGTGTAGTTATAATTGACATAAGCCTTGACAACTGTTACTGTAATGAACAATACAAAAGAGAATGTAATACATAAGATACAAATGGCAAGAAATATCATTATAAAAACTTTATTATATAATAGTGCCGCAAGGGAACAAGGACTTTTGATAGAATATAAAATTTGATGGAATATAGAATTTGATGGAATATAAAATTTATGCAAGAATCTAATTAAAATAAACAAAAATTTCTGAAATAAGATATATGTTCAACAACAACCTCTAATGAACCATGATTTATTGTACAAAGTTTAGAATGATACATGTATATGTTATTATACCCCTCTCGGGGGTATATAGGAATCATGTCCTTCCATCACACTTTTGGTTTCCAGATGATAAATAGAGAACCACTATTTGAAAATAATTGGAATTTTAATGTATTGTTTAAGGCCACTAAAGACAGGTTATATTTGCATTTTGTCATCTCCACTTTCACTGTTACAGAGTAATGGTACTTGATTGTTGGAAAAAAAAATAATTTTGTGGTTTCTTGATAATAAATGGAGAACCTCTTGATAAAATTGATTGAAATTTTAATGGAATGTTTTGGACCACCAAATACAGGTTAAGTTTTAATTTCTTTGTTTTCACTTTTTCTATTTCAGAGTTATGGTACTTAATTCTTGGAAATTTAAAATTTTATGGTTTAAAGATAATAAATTTGGAACCCCTTAAGAAATTTGATCGAAATTTAAATGGAATATTTTAGAACCCTAAAGACAGGTTAATTTCAATTTTCATCTTTTTCACTTTTACCATTCCAAAGTTATGGTTCTTGATAGTTGGTAAAAAATCAAAATTTTTACTTTTCTGGATAGTAAGCTAAATATTGATTGTTGGAAAAATTCTGAATTTTTGTTGATTCCCAATAATAAATGTAGAACTCATTTTTTAAATTGAAATTTTACCACTTTACAAAATGATAAACTCTCAGTTGGTGTATTTGCATGTATCTGTGATCCCTAGATCACCTTTCTTGTTTTAGGTTTTGTTCATATTAACAGTGTAATATTGTTTTTATTAGGACAAATGGAGGATGAAGTTGGACACAAAATCTGAAATTTTCCAGAATCTGAATGGTGCTTTGAGTAAGTGTCAGAAATAAATGTTTTGTTTTTTATATGTATTTATTTTAATGACATTATCAATTAAGTGCACCTTTTTATTCATACACTAACTTCATATTTACCTCCTCCTAAATAAGATTTTGTAAAACTGTTAAAAAAATTTAGTCATTACATTAATTGCGATGAAATACATTGAAAGATTTCCCAGTAAAACATAAATCCAATAATTTCACTCTTGTGATGTCTTACAACAGTTGGTTATTTCTATGATAGATAAAAAGATTTCATCCTACTCCCTCCTTATACAATGTCATAAGAATTTAATATCTACAGGATTAAACACAATTTTTCGAGAGTCTATTAATTTGTGAATTGGACCCAAAAACAAAAAGAGTTGTAAATAATGATAACATGTATTGTACGTGAACATGAATTCAAGCAGCCAAGATGTTATTTTGGTTATAAAAGTAGTCTGGTGAATACAATCTATCAAAATATAAACTGCCAAATAATTACTTGCAGGAAATTTGTCACCAATCATATTAACAGGATTCATAATTATTTAAATCATATAAGAACTATACATATTTAATTCCACTATTTCTTTTTAGGTGATACCACTTTGAAGTCGAAAGGGGACCATAGCTATTTGTACAACATGAAAACAGGAACATCACCCCTTATCATACATGGGAATGGTCCAATCAAGGTAGAGATACAAACATTTTTCCAATCACCTCAAATAACATTTTACAAGTTTAAGTTTTGGCCTTTTTGACAAAATGAGAAATATGGGTTTCGTTTTATTTGTATTGCTGTTTTAGCTAAAATCAGGTGTACAGAAATGACTAACATTTGATATAGAGAAAAAGGTTTTGAATAACTGTATTGCATGGTTAAGGGGAGATAACTTTCTAACTATTAAAACTAGACTAGGAATATCTGTTAGATAAATAATAATATATTATGGAAATTTAATGAAGAACAAAATATACATAAACGTTTTAATATGAAATATTTAGATAAGATATTTAATATAATTAACTGTGAATTAAGAATGTTTTTCCATCTGAAGTTACCCTCATTTATGGTAAGTCAAATATACTATACGAAATAATGTGCATTACTGATTATCAAGTTTTATAAATGTAAATCAAAGATACTGAAGTATGTTGCATTTGATAATTATAGAAACGAATCATAAAAGAATTTTATGAATTGAATTGAATTAAAATAATTTATCATAGATGTAATGCACTTTGATGACAGTACAGTATATAATAATTTTTTCAGATTTTTATACGACCGCAAAAATTGAAAATTTTTTGGTCGTATATTGGTATGACGTTGGCGTCGTCGTCGTCGTCGTCGTCGTCGTCGTCGTCGTCGTCGTCGTCGTCGTCGTCTGGCGTCGTCCGGCGTCGTCCGAAGACACATTGGTTTTCGCACTCTAACTTTAGTTTAAGTGAATGGATCTCCATGAAATTTTACCATAAGGTTCAATACCACGAAAGGAAGGTGGGGATTGATTTTGGGGGTTATGGTACCAACAGTTAAGGAATTAGGGGCCAAAAAGGGGCCAAAAATAAGCATTTTTGTAACTTCCAGACAATAACTTGTGTGTAAGTGTATGGATCTCTCTGACATTGTACCACAAGGTTCCATATCACAAAGGGAAGGCTGTAATTGATTTTGGGGGTAATTGCCTCAAAATTTTAGGAATTAGGGGCCAAAAAAGGGGCAAAAAACAAGCATTTTTCTAGTTTCATGACAATAACTTGTGTGTAAGTGTTTGGATATTTCTGAAATTGTACTACAAGGTTCCATATCACAAAGGGAAAGCTGGAATTGAGTTTGGGGGTAATTGCCCGAAACGTTTAGGAATTGGGGGCCAAAAAGGGGCCAAAAATAAGCATTTTTCTAGTTTCCAGACAATAACTTGTGTTCAAGTGTATGGATCTCTCTGAAATTGTACTGCAAGGTACCATACCACAAAGGGAAGGCTGGGATTGAGTTTGGGGGTGATGAATCATAAGGGGGTTCAAAAAATTTGGGGGGGGGGATTATTTTTTTTCTTTTTTTCCTTTTTTTTTTCTTTTAAAATTTTCCATTTTAAGTTGGTTATTTCTGATTAATATTTAAAAGCAAATAATAATGATATGGTAGGAGATACACACCAAACAGGATGTGTAAATTATTATATAATAAGTATTGTGCAATAGCAAGAAATTTTCAATTGCACAGTATTGCACAATTGCAAGAAATCTTCAATTGCACAGTATTGCGCAATAGCAAGAAATCTTCAATTGCACAGTATTGCGCAATAGCAAGAAATATCCAATAGCACAATATTGCGCAATAGCAAGAAATTGTCAATTGTACAGTATTGCACAATAGCAAGAAATATTCAATTGCACAGTATTGTGCAAAAGAAGATACTTCGTATAAATTGCTTATTTCTTGATCAATTTCAATGGGGTTTTATTCTTGAATTCTTGGGGTTCTTTAATATGCTGAATCTAACCGTGTATTAAGTTTTTGGATTTTGGGCCCCGTTTTTAAATTGGTCCACATTGAGGTCCAAAGGGTCCAAAATTTAACTTTGTTTGATTTCATCAAAAATTGAATTATTGGGGTTCTTTGATGTGCCGAATCTAACCGTGTATTTAGATTCTTAATTTTTGGTTCCGTTTTCAAATTGGTCTACATTAAGGTCAAAAGGGTCCAAAATTAAACTTAGTTTGATTTTAACAAAAATTGAATTTTTAGGGTACTTTGATATGCTGAATCTAAACATGTATTTAGATTTTTGATTATGGGCCCAGTTTTCAAGTTGGTCCAAATCGGGGTCCAAAATTAAACTTTGTTTGATTTCAACAAAAATTGAATATATGGGGTTCTTTGATATGCTGAATCTAACCATGTATTTAGATTTTTGATTTTTGGGCCCCGTTATCAACTTTGTCCACATTGAGGTCAAAAGGGTCCAAAATTAAACTTTGTTTGATTTCATCAAAAATTGAATTATTGGGGTTCTTTGATATGCCAAATCTAACCGTGTATTTAGATTTTTAATTTTGGGTCCCGTTTTTAAATTGGTCTACATTAAGGTCCAAAGGGTCCAAAATTAAACTTAGTTTGATTTTAACAAAAATTGAATTCTTGGGGTTCTTTGATATGCTGAATCTAAACATGTGTTTAGATTTTTGATTATGGGCCCAGTTTTCAAGTTGGTCCAAGTTGGGGTCCAAAATTAAACTTTGTTTGATTTCAACAAAAATTGAATATATGGGGTTCTTTGATATGCTGAATCTAAACATGTATTTAGATTTTAGATTTTTGGCCCAGTTTTCAAGTTGGTCCAAATTGGGGTCCAAAATTAAACTTTGTTTGATTTCAACAAAAATTGAATATATGGGGTTCTTTGATATGCTGAATCTTACCATGTATTTAGATTTTTTATTTGTGGGCCCTCTATCAAATTGGTTCATATTGAGGTCAAAAGGGTCCAAAATTAAACTTTGTTTGATTTCATCAAAAATTTAATTATTGGGGTTCTTTGATATGCCAAATCTAACCATGTATTTAGATTTTTAATTTTGGGTCCCGTTTTTTAAATTGGTCTACATGAAGGTCCAAAGGGTCCAAAATTAAACTTAGTTTGATTTTAACAAAAATTGAATTCTTGGGGTACTTTGATATGCTGAATCTAAACATGTGTTTAGATTTTTGATTATGGGACCAGTTTTCAAGTTTGTCCAAGTTGGGGTCCAAAATTAAACTTTTTTTTGTTTGATTTCAACAAAAATTGAATATATGGGGTTCTTTGATATGCTGAATCTAACCATGTATTTTGATTTTGGACATTTGACCATAATAGGTAAATTAAAAAAATTGAAGTTCTTAGACCACATTCTTTCTGTGTCAGAAACCTATGCTGTGTCAAATATTTAATCACAATCCAAATTCAGAGCTGAATCAAGCTTGAATGTTGTGTCCATACTTGCCCAACTGTTCAGGGTTCGACCTCTGCGGTCGTATCAAGCTGCGCCCAGCGAAGCATTTTATTTTTTATTGGTATTAGGTTGAATTAATATTTGTTGTTTAAATTTTAAGCGGTATTTGATTATGCTATTTTTTAATATTTTGTACCAAGGCTTAGTTTTATGACCTTTATGTCAATCTGTAGAATGAGTGGTATTTCCATTTATTGGAAAGTCACGAAAATAGAGGGTGATTTTTTAGAGTAAATTACTGAATATTTTTTCTAAGAAAAAAAATGACGGTTTACTCTACTTTTACTTAAATTGAAGGTTTAAATCTTTGCTTTTATTTGTTTCCTCTATTTGAGAAAACTTGAGGGTTTAAATCATGAATATTCAAAACTATGTACATAAGAAAGTAAGAAAGTAAAATGGTAAGTGAGACAATTGTGAAAGAAAAAGAAAAGGTAGAAGGGTGTAAAGATGATAGAATGAAAGGAGTCTGAAGGAATAAAACCTGACTGAGGAAGAGCAAGCAAAAGGGCTCCCATTTCAAAAGTGTTCATCTTACAACAGCACAGAGGGAGTAAAAACAAGAATGATAGTATTGGACATATGTAAGAAGTGATTAAAGTACTACCAGCAATCAGAGCCAAAATTGGTCAAATTTTCTACAAAATACATTATGGAAGATTATATACATGACTATTAGATTGAAATACGAACATTTGACAGAATATTGAAAATCTTCATACTGTTTATTATCATGAAGTTTTCCTGAATACTGTAAGTTCAGAAATTATTGCATGCATTTATTATTACCATTATTACCATGAATGGACACAAATAAGAGATTAATTATTGCGATTTTAGGAAAAGCTGCATACAGATATATGCATCAGATATCAGAATGCAAGTTATTATTGCGATTTCTCACTCAGTTGCTTTATTCGCATTAATTAAAACCTCGCAATAATTTCTGAATTAACAGTAATTTCAAATTGTAACTGTCCACTTCAAATTGGTTTTTATCTGTAAATTGTCTCCTCATACCAATTCCCATTACATATATAACAATACCAACCTATGACAAAGATTTCCATGCACACAACACACTTCTGATTTTAAATGTCATTTTCTTACTCCAGAATTGTATTTTGTCAGTTATGTACATTAAGATAAATGTTTTCAATAACATATATATGAATTATTTATGAATATCTCAAATAGTTTTCGAGTAAAAAGGGCAAGAAAAATAACAATATTACCCCCTCTCAATTTAAAATACCTAGTGTGGGATAAAGAGAATACCAAATTACAACTACTTTTATATAGTGATCAGTCAATCTTCTCGGTAGGTTTTATATCTAGGTAGAGAAAATCAACCCGTTGCGCATCTTACTAATTTTGAAAAAAAAATAAAAAATAAACCCCTTCCAGACAATTTTAATGTTTACACTTGACAGTATAGAGTAAAATAAAACCCCAACTGTTGTGTCACCATGACCTACATTCATTTATGAAGCCATTTTGGTCATGTATTAAGTCTGTTCAATGGTCTTACCTTAATGATTTACAAACGCACTAACATTTCAATTTGTTTTTTTTATTAAATTTGTTGTGAATATTAAGAATGTTGATTTTGTAGTCGGAGTTTAATCGTCTAGCCAATTATCTAGCTGATGGTTGGACTACCAGTGGTGGCTGTTTGTCATGCAAAAGAAATACAATTAGTTTGGAAGGATTAAAGGTAAAAGTATTAGAATAACATTAAACAGTTTATTGAACCAGATGCACATTTCAACAGATAATGTCATTCAGTGATGCTAAAAGCCAAAATATATGAAAGTCTAAAGCTTAAAACAAACATAGCCATCTTTAAAGAGCTGATATAACTGAAAATGTATAAAATTATAGCCATACCCAGACAAGGAAGCTGAGTTAAGCATAAGTGAGATATATTAGCACCTTGTATTGTCGAACTTGTATTTGAAAGCAGACATGTTTTATATTCCAACCCATTTGTATCAATATTACATGTATATATTTTACATCTGTCTGATGTTGACCAAGATAAGAAACAAATCTGGACAAATGAATGTTTTCAACTTTCTCCTTTTCTTGAGAGGCTGAGTTTTCATGTTTAGTATACTGTAAACCCACTAATTTTCACGACTTTCATGAGCAGGAAAATAACGTGAATACAAATTCTGTGTAAAACTTTGATTTCTCTTTATATAACTACATGAAGCAAATTGAAAATCGTGAAATCAAATTGCCGCAAAGTGAGCTTGAAAAGGCTAAACGGAAAAATAAATTGGTTTACTGTAACTCTTAATCAGTTTTATTATGATTTTAATGATTATTTTAATTTTTATTGAATTCTTGTCTTTGGTCTTTTAATTTGTTCCGTAGTTATCTCAGGTAAAAGGTGCTTCACATACTTAATTTTTCGGCATGATCAATTATCAAAGCTGGCGGCAAAAGATTATTAGCTCACCTGGCCCGAAGGGCCAAGTGATCTTTTCTCATCACTTTGCGTCCGTCGTCCGGCGTCATCTGTTTACTTTTACAAAAGTTTTCTCCTCTGAAACTATTGGGTCAAATTTAACCAAACTTGACCACATTCATCATTGGGGTATCTGGTTTAAAAAATGTGTCCGGTGATCCGGTCAACCAACCAAGATGGCCGCCATGGCTAAAAATAGAACATAGGGGTAAAATGTAAATTTTGGCTTATATCTCTGAAACCAAAGCATTTAGAGCAAATCTGATATGGGGTAAAATTTTTTATCAGGTCAAGATCTATCTGCCCTGAAATTTTCAGATGAATGGGACAACCCGTTGTTGGGTTGCTGTCCCTGAATTGGTAATTTTAAGGAAATTTTGCCGTTTTTGGTTATTATCTTGAATATTATTATAGATAGAGATTACCTGTAAACAGCAATAATGTTCAGCAAAGTAAGATATACAAATAAGTCAACTTGACCAAAATGGTCAGTTGACCCCTTAAGGAGTTATTGCCTTTTATAGTCAATTTTTAACCATTTTTCTTAAATTTTTGTTATCTTTTACAAAAATCTTCTCCTCTGAAACTACTAAGACAAATTTAACCAAACTTGTCCACAATCATCATTAGGGTATCTAGTTTAAAAAATGTGTCCGATGACCCCGCCCGCGAACCAAGATGGCCGACATGGCTAAAAAATAGTGCATAGGGTAAAATGCAGTTTTTGGCTCATATCTCTGAAACAAAAGCATTAAGAGCAAATCTGATGAGGATAAAATTGTTCATTAGGTCAAGATCTATCTGCCCTGAAATTTTCAGACCAATCAGGCAACCCGTTGTTGGGTTGCTGCCCCTGAATTGGTAATTTTAAGGAAATTTTGCCGTTTTTATACGACTGCAAAAATTAAACATTTTTTTGTCGTATATTGGTATGAAGTTGGCGTCGTCGTCCTGCGTCGTCCGAAGACACATTGGTTTTCGCACTCTAACTTTAGTTAAAGTGAATGGATCTCCATGAAATTTAACCATAAGGTTCAATACCACGAAAGGAAGGTTGGGATTGATTTTGGGGGTTATGGTACCAACAGTTAAGGAATTAGGGGCTAAAACGGGCCAAAAATAAGCATTTTTGTAACTTCCAGACAATAACTTGTGTGTAAGTGTATGGATCTCTCTGACATTGTACCACAAGGTTCCATATCACAAAGGGAAGGCTGTAATTGATTTTGGGGGTATTTGCCTCAAAATTTTAGGAATTAGGGGCCAAAAAAGGGGCAAAAAACAAGCATTTTTCTAGTTTCATGACAATAACTTGTGTGTAAGTGTTTGGATATTTCTGAAATTGTACTACAAGGTTCCATATCACAAAGGGAAAGCTGGAATTGAGTTTGGGGGTAATTGCCCTAAACGTTTAGGAATTGGGGGCCAAAAAGGGGCCAAAAATAAGCATTTTTCTAGTTTCCAGACAAGAACTTGTGTTCAAGTGTATGGATCTCTCTGAAATTGTACTGCAAGGTACCATACCACAAAGGGAAGGCTGGGATTGAGTTTGGGGGTGATGAATCATAATGGGGTTCAAAAAATTTGGGGGGGGGGGGGGATTTTTTTTTTTCTTTTTTTCCTTTTTTTTTTCTTTTAAAATTTTCCATTTTAAGTTGGTTATTTCTGATTTATATTTAAAAGCAAATAATAATGATATGGTAGGAGATACACACCAAACAGGATGTGTAAATTATTATATAATAAGTATTGTGCAATAGCAAGAAATTTTCAATTGCACAGTATTGCACAATAGCAAGAAATCTTCAATTGCACAGTATTGCGCAATAGCAAGAAATCTTCAATTGCACAGTATTGCGCAATAGCAAGAAATATCCAATAGCACAATATTGAGCAATAGCAAGAAATTGTCAATTGTACAGTATTGCGCAATAGCAAGAAATATTCAATTGCACAGTATTGTGCAAAAGAAGATACTTCGTATACATTGCTTATTTCTTGATCAATTTCAATGGGGTTTTATTCTTGAATTCTTGGGGTTCTTTAATATGCTGAATCTAACCGTGTATTAAGTTTTTGGATTTTGGGCCCCGTTTTTAAATTGGTCCACATTGAGGTCCAAAGGGTCCAAAATTTAACTTTGTTTGATTTCATCAAAAATTGAATTATTGGGGTTCTTTGATATGCCGAATCTAACCGTGTATTTAGATTCTTAATTTTTGGTTTCTGTTTTCAAATTGGTCTACATTAAGGTCCAAAGGGTCCAAAATTAAACCAAGTTTGATTTTAACAAAAATTGAATTTTTAGGGTTCTTTGATATGCTGAATCTAAACATGTATTTAGATTTTTGATTATGGGCCCAGTTTTCAAGTTGGTCCAAATAGGGGTCCAAAATTAAACTTTGTTTGATTTCAACAAAAATTGAATATATGGGGTTCTTTGATATGCTGAATCTAACCATGTATTTAGATTTTCGAGTTTTTGGCCCCGTTATCAACTTTGTCCACATTGAGGTCAAAAGGGTCCAAAATTAAACTTTGTTTGATTTCATCAAAAATTGAATTCTTGGGGTTCTTTGATATGCTGAATCTAACCATGTATTTAGATTTTGGATATTAGACCATAATAGGTGAATGTCCAATTTAAAATTTTTAAGTTCTTAGACCACATTCATTCTGTGTCAGAAACCTATGCTGTGTCAAATATTTAATCACAATCCAAATTCAGAGCTGTATCAAGCTTGAATGTTGTGTCCATACTTGTCCCAACTGTTCAGGGTTCGACCTCTGCGGTCGTATCAAGCTGCGCCCTGCGGAGCATTTTATTGGTTATTATCTTGAATATTATTATAGATAGAGATAAACTGTAAACAGCAATAATGTTCAGCAAAGTAAGATCTACAAATAAGTCAACTTGACCAAAATGGTCAGTTGACCCCTTAAGGAGTTATTGCCCTTTATAGTCAATTTTTAACCATTTTTCGTAAATTTTTGTAATTTTTTACAAAAATCTTCTCCTCTGAAACTACTAAGACAAATTTAACCAAACTTGTCCACAATCATCATTAGGGTATCTAGTTTAAAAAATGTGTCCGATGACCCTGCCCGCGAACCAAGATAGCCGACATGGCTAAAAAATAGTACATAGGGTAAAATGCAGTTTTTGGCTCATATCTCTGAAACCAAAGCATTTAGAGCGAATCTGATGAGGATAAAAGTGTTCATTAGGTCAAGATCTATCTGCCCTGAAATTTTCAGACCAATCAGGCAACCCGTTGTTGGGTTGCTGCCCCTGAATTGGTAATTTTAAGGAAATTTTGCCGTTTTTGGTTATTATCTTGAATATTATTATAGATAGAGGTAAACTGTAAACAGCAATAATGTTCAGCAAAGTAAGATCTACAAATAAGTCAACATGACCAAAATTGTCAATTGATCCCTTAAGGAGTTCATAAATTTTGTAAATTTAAGGCCAAGTTCATTATAAATAGAGATAATAGTAAGGAGCAAGAATGTTCAGTAAAGTAAGATCTACAAACATATCACCATCACCAAAACACAATTTTGTCATGAATCCATCTGTGTCCTTTGTTTAATATGCACATAGACCAAGGTGAGCGACACAGGCTCTTTAGAGCCTCTAGTTTTTACGTGCCATCTTAAATGTTATACAAACCAAATGATTGACCTATATACATATATTACAGGAAGATGAATACCCTGATGTTCAGTTGTCAATCTTTATTGATCAACCAACTCCATTCTTACCTGAGGCATTGGAGGATGTCGTAAACCAGGATTATCCAAAGAAGAGAATCAATCTGTTCCTTCAGAATCAGGTAATACAACAACATATATACAGCAAGCAACGGTCACATCATCGAAAATAAGCTTAGCTCATGCAGCAAGCAATGGTCAAGTCATCGAAAATAAGCTTAGCTCATGCAGCAAGCAACAGTCGAGTCATCGAAAATAAGCTTAGTTCATGGTAGTATATACCGCTGTTCAAAAGTCATAAATCGATTGAGTGAAAACAAATCCGGGTTACAAACTAAAACCGAAGGAAACACATCAACTATAAGAGGAAAACAACGGAAAAACAGAAACACTGAACTGCACCAAAAACAAACGCCAACATACATAGAAGCGAACTATTTGACAACTGCCATATTCTTGACTTGGTACAGGACATTTTAAGAAAAAAATGGTGGGTTAAATCGGACTCACCTTTCATTACCTGCAATTATCCTGCTTCCCAACAATTCACTCACCCTTGTTATCATTTTTCATACAAATGCAAAACAAGACAATAGTATTCTTTATTAGATCACCTGCCCTTGCATTGTCAGGCATCCATTAACTTTTAAAAAATCTTCTCCCTTATAAATACTGGGATAAATTGCACTAAACTTTACCACAATCTTTCTTGGGGTATCTAGTTAAGAGGAGTTATTAAGAGATTCTAGTCATGAATTATATTCTAGTCTTCAAACTTAGAAAGTGGCTGTTGTTGCTTATATCAAACATTTGTCTTGTGCTGAAATATTTTGGATGGGAGAACATTTTATTTCATGTAATGGGAGACAAATATATACTTTCATGAAGTCATATTTTTAAATGCCAAATAAATCTGTTAACAGTGTCAGTAATTGTATTTAAAAGGGTGAATTAAAGTGGAAAATTCTTACTATATTAACAGGCTGAGTACCACAAAAAAGATGTTGCAACTTTCTTAGAAACCAATGGCGATAAGTATAAATCTGTGACGGTAGTTAATCCTGAAGATAACATGAATACTGTTGCTGGAAGGAACTGGGCTCTGTAAGTGTTCAAAATAAAGTTTCATAGTTTATGTGGATTCATTTATAATTATAAGTACCAATATTAGTGCAGAGTTTATATAACAACAAAACCAAGCTTAAGTATCCATGAAAACAATTACAGGTCACTGTATGACCTTCAACAATTAGCATAACCCATACCGTATAATAAGCTGTAGTCCATTTATAGACTACTCTATATTTGCAGAAAAAAATTCTTAAAAATCCATTTTTCAAATCAATATTTTTGCCTTGATGTATGTTTATAATCATGATGTTTGATACATACGAACTCTAACATAATTTCAATATTTGAGGTCTATAATTAAAAAAGTTACCCATTAGGTCTCTTTGTTAATTTTATTTTTCGAAGTGTTGAATACCTATTGGAGTACTAAAGTATATAAATTGTGAAACTGAAATATCAAAATCAAGAAATGGACAATTTTTGCTTTTCATATTAGTTTTATTTAAAATTATTTCCCTTGTCAGAGTAAATTTCTGCAGTATTAGAATTCTTTTAAAATTATCAAGATAAACAATAAGTGTTATTGAATTAGTTTATTAAATGGAATTTTGACAGATCTTTAGTAAGTTTGGCCATAAACTGAGAATCAAAATAAAACCATGAAAAGTCTGCTATTAAATGTTTATTATCACACATATATTTGTATAGTAGAATGACAGGTTGCAGGATAAAGCAGTATATTGATAACTCTTTCTTTAAACCTACTCTATGAGAGAAGGTCAACAGTATCGTAGAAAACTCAATCTTTAAACCTACTCTATGAGAGAAGGTCAACAGTATCGTAGAAAACTCAATCTTTAAACCTACTCTATGAGAGAAGGTCAACAGTATCGTAGAAAACTCAATCTATAAACCTACTCTATGAGAGAAGGTCAACAGTAGAAATAACCACATTAAACAGACTCAGAAGTAAAGGATTAATGTCCAAGCTTAATTTTTCAATACTTTTCCTAGATCATGTGACTTTGTATGGTTGATGTATGGGTTTTTTTTCTGCAGGGAGATGTGTTTGAAGACAAAATGTCAGTATTTCTTTTCTGTCGATGGTCATGCTCATATTACAGAACCTAGTTTGTTAAAGAATCTGATAGAACAAAATAGGTAAATATGTTTTGTAACATTACTTTTTAGTGAAAACTTTTATGTAAATGAGTGATTGGCATATCACCCATTACAGCTAGTACAGTTTGGGCTTTACCACTTTCTTTGGCTGCTGTAATAGAAATTATACAAAATCAAGAATTCATGATCATGAGTATCTCAGAGAAAATGACATCCCTTTTAATACAAGACATCAATGAAAATGAAATATTTTATTTTTAAATTAAATATTCAAAGGTAAAGAAGAATATTTTCATACATTTGTAGTAAGTGATACAAAATAAAAAAATGGAGAGATATTTATAGTTTATAACTTAAATGGTACTTTTATATTACTAGTGAGAGAAAAGGAAAAGTTGTAATTGTTCAAACCACAATGAATGTTCTTAGTAAAGCTTATATAGATAAAATAACTGTCTTTTTTTGTTATTCTTAATTGATCGTTTTGATGTTCAGACTACAGTGCATACATACATCGTTAACAAGACATAAGTAAATAAAATATATAACATTGTTATTATGCAACAAAGAAATGTCTTTGATGTGAATATACAGCATATGATACAATCCTAAGATTACTTTGGAGTTTATTAGATATTCAATCATATTTTAATAACATTGTCAGTAGTCAGTATATATGAATCAAAAAGATTTTCAAGGTCAACAATTTTCTGACCTTGAAATGAAATAGAACTAGCCAAGGAACATATTTTGAGTAATTATTTGTGTCTAATTTCTGGGGATCTATAAGTGACAATAATTATTATATATTTCAGAACTGTGATTGCACCAATGGTGTGCAGACCACAACAGTATTGGTCTAATTTCTGGGGATCTGTTAGTGATATTGGTTATTATGCAAGATCAGCTGATTACATGGATATAGTTGCATATAAAAAAGAGTAAGATAAATTATCAGTCTGAGAAACTAGTTTGTTATTATTTAATTGTAAAGTAGTTCTTGATGATAGTGATTGTAGTGGCACATATTTCCATATGTTTTAAGATTGTTTAATGCTGATTTACTTTGCCAGTGACGCACCTGTTTTAGGATTGTTTAATTAGATATAAGAAGATGTGGTATGAGTGCAATTGAGACAACTCTCCATCCAAGTCACAATTTGTAAAAGTAAACCATTATAGGTCAAAGTACGGCCTTCAACACAGAGCCTTGGCTCACACCGAACAGCAGGCTATAAAGGGTCCCAAAAATGACTAGTGTAAAACCATTCAAACAGGAAAACCAACCATCTAATCTATATAAAAAATGAGAAACAAGAAACACTTATGAACCATATCAACAAACGACAACCACTGAACATCAGGTTCCTGACTTGGGACAGATGCAAACAAAATGCATCGGGTTTAAACATTTTAATAGGCACCAACCTTCACCCTACCTGAAACAATAGTGTAACATCACAAAATAGAAAGACACACTATAAAATATCAATTGAAATGGTTTAACTCAATCAAAAGACATATTAACAAAAACAAGTGAACATACACTGAACGAATAAATTTCATCTATGACACAATGTAAACACAAAATTAATAAAACAAGGGGGTTAGATGTAAAACAATATCAGAAAGACAACCATAACCTTGGACAAATGCAGCCAAATAAAATAACGTACACAGGTAAATGAAAATAATTTTGTTGTAAGGTATACATGGAGTACTGAAATAATTTTTACAACATAAATAATTTTGTTGTTCCTAGTACGAGAACAAAAGTGAAAATTTATCATCATACTAAATACAAAGGTGGTATATATTAAAAATAGTGTGACGAGATATAACACTATATAAGTAAACATAAAATAACAAAAATACATTACAAATTGTATCAACAGGTCAAATTAACACGAAAATATGATTTGAGAGTACTTGCAATTACTGAAAGCTAGTTAAAAGCCAAAAACAATTAATAATAAAAAATCATGCATCAGAGACTAGAATCAACTAAAACACATCCAAGGGATATAGTGTTTTAACTTCATGGACAGTCAAAGAAGACATGACTTGTGTAATGCCAAAATAAAAGTATCGACAGGCATTAGGATAGTTGGGAGTTAACCTGTTAATAAATATGTATAATGTAATATATAGATAGAGTAATCTCTATATAGAAAATGAATGTGGATGTGTATTTATACATCCCAAAAACTGTTTGAAAAAAATACAAATTTAGTTATGTTTTAATTTGCCGATGACAAAATTGATGTTAGTGCCAATGTTAACTATATTCAAAGATCTAATAACAACATTGGTAAGATAACCTTTACTAATAAGTTTGTTTAAAGGTTCGATGAGTTTTCACGGATCACATAGTAATTTCCGCGCTTTAAGAACAATGCCGATTTACTTTGACAGTGACACACCTGCTTTAGGATTGTTTAATGCACATTTACTTTGCCAGTGACACACCTGATTTTGGATTTTTAAATGCACATTTACTTTGCCAGTGACCCACCTGTATTAGGATTGTTAAATGCACATTTACCTTGCCAATGACCCACATGTTTTAGGATTGTGTAATGCCGATTTACTTTGACAGTGACACACCTGCTTTAGGATTGTTTAATGCACATTTACTTTGCCAGTGACACACCTGATTTTGGATTTTTAAATGCACATTTACTTTGCCAGTGACCCACCTGTATTAGGATTGTTAAATGCACATTTACCTTGCCAATGACCCACATGTTTTAGGATTGTGTAATGCCGATTTACTTTGCCAGTGACACCACTGTTTTTGAATTGTTAAATGCACATTTACTTTGCCAGTGACACATCTGTTTTTGGATTGTTAAATGCACATTTACCTTGCCAATGACCCACATGTTTTAGGATTGTTAAATGCACATTTACCTTGCCAGTGACACACCTGTTTTAGGATTGTTAAATGCAAATTTACTTCGCCAATGACACACAAATATTTTGTTTACAAAACATTATGTATGGATCATAAAAATATTAAGAAAATTATGATTCGTAATGATATAGTGTATTTAAAAAAAAAATCTATGTGAGTTTAAAAAGGCCTGAAATTTACCTCCTTTTGCAATGTGTATATGATTTGGTGTCAAATACCTCTCTTATGAAAGTCAAATTGTTTTATCAACATGATCAAAGCAAAACTGACATATACATTTTCTGAAATTGCTTCTTATGAAGTTTAAAAAATGTGAAATTTTGTATTTTTCTGTGAATTCAAAGGACCAGCTAAGCCCCAAAATGTACCTCTTCCTGTGTCCATAAAGATTTTATGGAGCGCAAGAAATTGAGCTGAACAAATTAATTTAAATGCCCTTTAGAAATTATAAAGAAAATAAGGTTTCAACTCCCTCAGGCAAAGTTGACCTTTGAGCGTTCCTGATGAAGGTTAATTCAGAAAAGCGCTTCGAACGCATGAAATTATTCAACATGTTCTTTTAATTTTTTACAGCACTGGGTGGATACCTCTGCTGGTGGACTATCAGTCCCAGAGGGTATCATCAGCTCAGTAGTCAGTACTTTGGTACTGTAATGATTTATAACAAACGTTTTTAAAATTGTCCGTTTATAAATTTTGAAATTATAAAGAAACTAAGGTTTTAACTCCCTCAGGCAAAGTTGACCTTAAATGAATATTGCTATTTTTTAGGTATTTTTTTGTCATATAGCTCTTCAACTGTTTCGATTCTTATACATTCTCGGCTTCCAAATATTTGGCTTTGAGCGTTCCTGATGAAAGTATATCCAGAAAAGCGCTTTGGACGCATGAAATTATTTAACGTGTTGTTTTCATTTTTTTTTGGGATAATCAAAATTAATTCAATATTATTATGTTACAAAAATACAATCTAAATATATATCGCTGTAATAAGTTTTTGAAATTTCAATGTAATTTTTATACGACTGCAAAATATTTGCGGTCGTATATTGGTATCACGTCATCGTCCGAAGACACATTGGTTTCCGGACAATAACTTTTGTTTAAGTGTATGGATTTCTATGAAATTTTACCATAAGGTTTATGACCACAAAAGGAAGGTTGGGATTGATTTTGGGGGTTATGATCTTAACAGTTCAGGAATTAGGGGCCAAAATGGGGCCCAAATAAGCATTTTTCTAGTTTCCAGACAATAACTTGTGAAATGGTGTATGGATCTCTCTGAAATTATACCACAAGTTACCATATCACAAAGGGATGGTAAGAATTTGCTTGGGGGGTTATGGCTCAAACTGTTTAGGAATATGGGGCAAAAAAGGGGTAAAAACAAGGGTTTTCAGGTTAATGGACAATTACTTAAGTACAAACATAATTTTAAAGCAGTGTAAGGGAGGTAATTCAAACACATATTGTCAAATTACCTCCCTTACACTGCTTGTAGATTATTTATAAAGAAATGTATTGTCTTTAGGTGATTAGCTGTCAATTTATTTTTAGAAGTTACTATTTTAAAAATGTTTAATAAAGGTAATTTAATTATAGCCATGATTATGTATGTGAAGAAATTTTATTTTTATGTCGTATATTGGTATGACTTTGTTGTTGTCGTCGTCCGAAGACACATTGGTTTTCGCACAATAACTTTATAGTTTAAGTGAATGGATCTCTATGAAATTTTACCATCAGGTTCAATACCACAAAAGGAAGGTTGGGATTGATTTTGGGGGTTATGGTACCAACAGTTTAGGAATTAGGGGCCAAAAAGAAGCATTTTTGTAACTTCCAGACAATAACTTGTGTGTTAGTGTATGGATCTCTCTGACATTGTACCACAAGGTTCCATATGACAGAGGGAATGCTGGGATTGATTTCGGGGGTAATTGCCTCAAAATTTTAGGAATTAAGGGCCAAAAAAGAGGCAAAAAACAAGCATTTTTCTAGTTTCATGACAATAACTTGTGTGTAAGTGTATGGATCTTTCTGAAATTGTACTACAAGGTTCCATATCACAAAGGGAAAGCTGGGTTTGAGTTGGGGGGTAATTGCCCTAAACATTTAGGAATTTGGGGCCAAAAAGGGGCCAAATAACAAGCATTTTTCTAGTTTCCCGACAATAATTTGTGTTCAAGTGTATGGATCTCTCTGAAATTGTACTGCAAGGTACCATACCACAAAGGGAAGGCTAGGATTGAGTTTGGGGTGATGAATCATAAGGGGGTTCAAAAAATTGGGGGGGGGGGATTTTTTTTCCTTTTTTTCCTTTTTTTTTGGTTTAAATGTTTCCATTTTAAGTTGGTTATTTCTGATTTATATATAAAAGCAAATGATAATGATATGGTTTGAATAGGTAAATATTTAATCACAATCCAAATTCAGAGCATATCTGAATATCTGAACTGTATCAAGCTTGAATGTTGTGTCCATACTTGCCCCAACTGTTCAGGGTTCGACCTCTGCCGTCGTATCAAGCTGCACCCAGCGGAGCATTTTATTAGATATTACTATTTAATGTTGCTGATGGAGGCTTTTTAATTTTAGGCATGTTTATGATGTAATTTTCTGTTTTAAAAATTATTTAATTTTAGCCATGATTATGTATGTGAAGGAATTTTATTTTTAGATATTACTATTTAATGTTGCTGATGAAAGTGTTTTAATTTTAGGCATGATTATGATGTCATTTTCTATTTTAATACTTTTATGATGTATTTAAATGGGTTTTTATGGTTGCAAAGTCCTAGCTGTCAATTTATTTTTAGAAGTTACTTTTAAATGCTGATGAAGGAATTTTATTTTTAGATATTACTATTAAAAGTTGCTGATGAAAGTTTTTTAATTTTAGCCATGAATATGATGTCATTTTCTATTTTAATACTTTTATGATGTATTTAAATGGGCTTTTATGGTTAAAAAAAAGCATTTTTCTAGTTTCCAGACAGGAACTTGTGATTAAGTGTATGGATCTCTCTGAAATTGTACTACAAGGTTCCATACTACAAAGGAAAGACTGCAATTGAGTTTGATGGTTAATGCTGAAAGAGGGATTCAAAAAGTTTGGGGGGAAGGGGGGGGGTTCCAATTTTTTTTAAAAGGGTACATATTTTTTTTTCCAATAATTTTCAAAATTTCAAATTTTTGAAAAGTTTCAAGAAGAAATCTTCAATTGCACAGTATTGCGCATTAGATTTGTAAGATCTTTGACCACATTTATTTTGTATCAGAAACCTATATTATGTCAAAAATTTGATCACAATTCAAGTTCAGATAGTATCAAGCTTGAATATTGTGTCCAGATTTGCCACAACTGTTCAGGGTTCAACCACTGCGGTTGTATCAGGCGGCGCTCAGCGAAGCATTTTATTGAATGTTGTGTAGGATGATTTTTTTCAGGTTAAATATAGGAAATAACAAATTGATTAAAGTTAGAGGTACAAAAAAATGAAAATTGATGTCCATATAATTTGGATTCATTTATTTTCTTGGGTACAAAATGTACCAGTTTTTGTGGATGGAAGAAAAACAACATTTAAATGGATACCTGTACCTGATTTCATCGTTCTAACAAATTCTGAAGAAAACTTGTATTCTATTTAGTTATCCACAATATCCATGAAATTTAACACACCACCAATAATTATTACAATGATACTGGCAATTTTTTGGGAAAATCTTTTAAAGTATCCTCATAGGAACAATTGGTAATTGACTATCTTAATCTGGATTTGGACAACCAAGCTGATTCCAGTGGCCTGTGGAATGTTTCATATACATTTATTAACATGTGTTTCTTTGGTCCATTGTCCTGATTCGGAGAACTTAATTTTAGTTTTATGATTTAATTACCTGTTGATTTTCAGGGCCTGTGGAATGATCCATATATATTAACAATATTTATTTGGTCCATGGTTCTGAATTTAGACAACTTATTTTGAGTTTTATAATTTTATTATCTGTTGATTTTCAGGGGCTTGTGGAATGTTCCATATATGAACAGTGTTTATTTGGTCCATGGATCTCTGATGGGAAAACTAAAAGATTCCTTTACCAGACAAACTGTTAGAGACGCAGACATGCATTTTGCTGAAAATCTAAGGGAAAAGGTAAAAACATGAATTTTTAAAGTTCAAGTCGTTGGGAGCTAAAAATATGAATTTTTAATGTTCAAAAATTTTGAGGTAAAAAGATCTTGTACTCCTTTATATGAGTCTTGGGATTTATATAAAAAAAAACTTGATGCATCCATAGTCCTTTTATAAAGAAATGGACTATTAAAGTGGTACTCAATACCTTTATGCTCTCTGCCTATTAGATCAACTATCAACTTTTTATCCACCAGTCAAATTTCTGTGATAATCAGATCTCATTTTAAACAAGCAGTCACATGATTATACTAGAAAGTAAGGCATGATTGAGATCTACAAACATAAACATAATGTCACTTAACCATACATTAACCACAGGATTAGGAGTCAAAATGAAAATACTGGATGCAGAGTTCTCCACATCTTTTTTTCCTTGTTGGTTCTTGAAGAAAATTTGCTGGTCCTCACTTTTATTTCTACTACTGAATACTAAAATTTTATCGCTCCTTTCCAAAATTTGGTGGTCAAAACCTCTGGACCACCACTGTTTGAGAACTCTGTGGATGTTAATTAAACAACATCATTTAACCAATCAAAAGTTGGTCAAATATTTATAGTGGAAACCAGTTCAAATCATTCAAGTTGCTAAATTCGCCTTTCAGAAAAAGTTTCAAATGATAGGACTTCTAAAACCTCCATGTTGAAACAGCCACTATCTCTGAAATCTTCATTTTATAAATATTTCTATGCATTTTGCATGTTATTTCCATGTATATTATATGGTATTTTAAAGGGAATTTCAAAGGGTATTTCTATCTATTTTATAGGGTATGTCTATCTATTTTATAGGGTATTTCTATCTGTTTTATAGGGTATTTTTATGTATTTTGTAGGATATTTCTGTCTATTGTATTGGGTATTTGTTATGTATTTTGTAGGGTATTTGTTATGTATTTTATAGGGTATTTCTATATATTTCAGAATATTTCTATGTATTTTATAGGGTATTTTTATGTATGTTACAAATGTGAAGTATTTTGGACACCTGGTGAACTTTGATGATTACCCGACAACACATTTACACAACGATATGTATGAGATTTTACGCAATCCTTATGTAAGTATGATAATTATGCAAATGTTGGTTCTCATTCATAAATAAAAGGCTATTTGATAATTCTTACCTGGAACAATTGAACAGAAATGATTAAAAAATTTCTCAAAAAATTATCTGATTTAATTGCAATAATTGTTTATATGTAATGTTTCAGGACTGGGAAAGAAAATATATACATGCAAATTATTCCTCCAGTTTAGAAGAGAATGCTGATATTGCACAGGTAAGTTAATTTTCTCTGTTATTGCATAATACTTTCTGTAATTGTAATGGTAAATTATAGTTTATCAAAAGATTCCTGATATTGCAAAGGAATACTAAACTTAATTTGTATTAAAGGAGAGGTGGGGGTAAACATCAATGAGACAGCAACCCAATGATGATACTATAAATGGACCTCTAGAGGACAACATATAGTCTTCTTTTTTTAAATAAAAAATCCTTGAAAATATGAAGTCATTCTGTTAGGTAGTTTCTGAGGAAAATGTGATGAAAATATTAGTTGGACCAACTGATAAAGTGATTACAATATAGACCCAACTTTATCAGTGGGGTTCAAAAAGAATGAATAGAATGAAAAGCTCGAAAATAGGGTTTATATCATAACATATGTCAGAACGATTATGATATTACATGAATATTTTCAAGGGTTTCTCATTTAAAAAAAGAAAGATAGATATTTGTTAATCTTGGTGTTTATTCTAACAATGCACAGTATATAAAATAGAAAGTGTTGGAAAATGTGAATCTTATTTGTAGATGGATAAGAAAAAGGTTCATATTTAAATTTGGGTCTGTCAGACACCTACTTGGTGTTTGCCAATACTTTTAAATTTTTCAATATGTTGAAAGAACTTAATTTTCATCACACTTTTCTCAGAAACAATTGAACAGAATGAATTCATATTGTAACATGTGAATTTTGTTTAAATTTGGAAGAACGAAGTTGTTTCAAATGACTATATCTTAGATTTTCCTGAATTCTATCTGAGCAAATTGAATTTCATCCACTTTGATAGAATTGATAGATAAATGAGTGGTTTGTTGTTATTTAAGATGGTTTTAAAATATAAAACAACATATTTGTCAATTTCACTTTTTCCTTAATGTTTATATTTTCCAGACTAATTATTTGATTTAACTACTATTTCAGCCATGTCCAGATGTTTTCTGGTTCCCAATTGTTACAGAAACTTTCTGTGATCATTTAGTCGAGGAGATGGAACATTTTGGTCAATGGTCTGGTGGTAAAAATGAGGTAAATATTAACAAATAAATAATTATTCAATAAGTTACTTGGTTACTGTCTTGTTGACTCTATTTAGTTGCTAGCAAACAAAAAAGCTTAACTCAATGCATATGCTTATATCAGGGTTTAAAAAAGTTTAGCCAACTGGACATTTTTCATCTGTGAACACCATAATCCAAAAACTTATATAAAATACACTATTTTATCTTGATGATCACTGAATATTTTTTAGTAAATAATCTCTGCAAGCCAATTGCAATATTTCCAGATTCCTAAGGTCTTTGGTTTCATGCCTGCCAACCTCTGAAACCTTCAAAGAGGGAGATCTCCCCCTCAGCTATGACAGCTGAGGAGGAGATTTTGCGCAAACGACATTTTCAAGTTAAATATATGACCTGTTTACTTATTCATCTACAAAACACCAACAAGAGTTAATAAATATACTTTATTTCTTCAATTCACGGTAATAATCTATACAAGTTATTTTTTTTTGCCTTTTTCAATACCTCTTGAGTCTCATAATTCATAACATTCCATATTTTGATTTTGTTGTGAGACTCACACTAAGCATGTTTTCAAACATCGTACAGACCACCACAAGAAACTGAAAAGTTGATTGAACATGATGTGCAAAATGAAGATTCATTCCCGAGTGAACTTGTTCATAAAAATTGCAAAATTGTCTTTCATTCAATCTGCTTCAGTGCTTGATATTTCGATTTTCAGTTATCTATTTCTTCTTTTTAGTCCCCTACCAACGAAGTCGAAGGGGACTTTAGGTATGCACTCCATCCGTCTGTCTGTCTGTCTGTCCGTCTGTCTGTCCTTCTGTCAGTCCGGCAAATCAGCTTTCCACACTTTTTTTCTTTGTTCTTGAAGATATTGATTTGATATTTGGTATATAGTTTCATCATGACAAGTTATAGATCAAGTTCAAATTTTGTTCCGGTCTGATGATTTAATCCAGAGTTATGGACAATAACTCTGGACCATATCTAATGTTAGAGTACTATGTTAAACCATATTTCTGTACAAAGGGAGATAACTATTTTTTTAAAAGACATTCTTTGTTCAATAATCTGAAGAATTTTTTGGCAGGTTTGTTAGTTATTTAGTATAAACTAATTTTCTGAATGCTATATATTTAAAAAAAAATTATGAAGAGAAATCCTTTAATAAGTTAATAATCTATTTTTATTATGTATATATTTCAATACATTACATTGTGTAGATAAAAGTTGTTGACATTTTATAGATAAGTTACAAATCTGTATTAGTTTGTGACAAATGAAAGAAAAAATATTTGGAACTATTAATTATATTTGATTATAATTTGAAAATAGATATACACTGTATTACATCATATCTTATTTTAGAGAACTATTAATCATATCTAATGTTTTTTTCATCATGCTTATACGATATTGATTGATAATTGGTATATAGTTTTATCATGACAAGTTACAGATCAAGTTCAAATTTTTGTTTCGGTCTAATAATTTTGTGCAGAGTTATGGTCCTTGGACTTGAAAAATTCACTCATATAATCAGTTTTCCACACTGTTTTTAGTCATGCTTGAAGATATTGACATGATATTTACTTTTTGTTTACACCATGCCAAGTTATATAACAAGTTAGCATTTTGTTCCAGTATAATGAATTTTTACCCGGTAGGGGACTATGTATGTATTGCCATGCAATACTCTCAGAATGCTTGTTTACACTGCCGCTTGGTCCAGACAAAGACCTCTATCTTGTGGGAGTTGACATAGCAGAAATGAATTTCGGTTACTTATAAATCAAACATAAAAACTACTGACCAAAGTTTTCAAATGATTGCCGGTTGTTTATTTATTTCTATTGACAGTAATGAAAAAGCCAGAGAATTACGAACACAGGTCTTTTCAGGTAAAAATAACCAAAAGTATACTCCTGCGCAGGAGTGGACCAGCAGGCAGGAGATTTCCGGAATTTCGTTGTTTGCGCGGGATACTCCCGCTAAAAACGGGAGGGTTGGCAAGTATGTTGGTTTAGACAGGTTCTTGAGTGTTTAATATCTGTTTTCAGGATGCTCGACTTGCAGGTGGCTATGAGAATGTACCAACAGTTGACATACACATGAACCAGATTGGAAATGAAGACAATTGGTTACATTTCTTACGGAAATATGTATTGCCATTGCAGCAGAAAGTGTTTTTAGGATATTTCCATGATGTAAGACTATTATATTATTATTATTTATTACCTTCCCTGCTTTTTGTCTCATAGAATAAGGGCAACACAGCACAGAGGTTAATGATATAAGTTAAAAGGAAAAGAGAAATATTCTGGAATATTATTTGTAATGGAAGAAATATTGCAGTATTTTTTTCATAGCAGGATAAACATTAAATGATACATCATACTCAAGGTCAGGTATATATAACTCCTGATTGCAGATGAGTGAATCAATGTGAAACTTAATTGTAGTTATTTTACTCTAGGGCCAAAGACCTAGGGACAGAATTTTGAACTCAAATTGTTGTAACAGAAATATTCAGCTTTAACTGTGTAATATTATTCATGAAGATTAAATTTTGTGATTTCTAGTGCCAAACCTGTTTGCGAGCATTTTTGTGTTTTTCTTGTCCCTGATTCTGACCTACCTTAAAGATCAAGTTTCCCAGATGGGATATATATGAATGATTTAGTACAAATCCAAGAATTAGTAACTACAAGTCTCTTGCAAAAGTATCCCTATTTTGCAGTACACGAATTTGTTGTTTGTAATTATGATATGATGTAACATGATTTATCACTCTCTATTTTGTAATTTGTAGCCACCACACGCCATTATGAACTTTGTTGTACGATACAGGCCAGATGAACAGCCATTGTTACGACCACATCATGACTCATCAACATTTACAATAAATATTGGATTAAATAATCCTGGCATAGATTATACAGTGAGTATTGTTTATATCCTTGACAGATTGCCAACAACAACAAAAACAGCAACGAAACAACAAAATTAAAAAAAAATAAAATTTAGAGTGCAACAGGGCAGCATACAGTCTTCAACAATAGACAAGTGTCTATACAAAATGTAAAGCTCTAAATCATTACAAGTCTATCAAAGGTCTTATCATCAACACCAAATTATCAAAATAACACAAAAAAATTAAGATATTACACAAGACAACATCCCACAATGTTCCTGACTATGGAAAGGCACATTTAAGAAAGTTTAGACAGAAATTTCAAGTAGTTTTTACCTAGTTATCAAAAAGGATTGAAAAGACATAATCAAGCAGATGTCACCATCAAATGGAGACATACAAACCATTTTTATGCCCCCGCCGTAGCGGAGAGGGCATTAAGTTTTACCCTTGTCCGTCCGTACGTCCCAAAGTTGGTTTCCGTTCTCTAACTTTAGCTTGCCTCAACCAAATGTTATGAAACTTATACACAATGCTTTTTACCTCAAAATACAGATCAAGATTGATTTTTGGTGGTGTCACTTTTACTGTTCTAGAGTTCAGCCCTTTCCATTCTCTAACTTAAGTTTGCCTCAAACAAATGTTATGAAACTTATACACAATACTTATTACCACAAAACTCAGATCAAGTACAAATTTGGGTAGCGTCACTTTTACCGTTCTTCAGTCATGTCCCTTTATAACTTTATATGATATGCAAGCGGGGGCATCATCTGTGTCCCATGGACACATTCCCCATTTATTTTTTCATGATTTGATGAACATACAGTTTGATGTGTTCTTCTACCTACTAATCTTTCAGTTTGTTCTGAAAAAAAATGAATTTTTGTCTACTGCCTTAAAAAATCAGTAAAGAAGAAAATACTAGAAAAAATATATAAGGTTTGGGCATCTCTTGATTAACAGAAATCTATATGAAACAAACTTTGATATTTTAGGGTGGTGGATGTAGATTTATCAGGTACAACTGCAGTGTAACTGGTACAAGAAAAGGATGGATGCTGATGCACCCTGGGAGATTAACCCATTATCACGAGGGTTTGAAAACTTTATCTGGAACCAGATATATAATGATCTCCTTTGTAGATCCATAAATGTTTGACAATGGTGAAGATTTTGGTGCTTTTTTTTTTTATAACATTTTCTGTTTATTGTTTGTCGTATACATGCAGTATGTAATAAGATTTTGAATGTGCCATTTTAATTTTTCTGTGCTTGAAAACTGTTAATGTGGAAATTTTCTGTGCGGGGGATTATTTTCTCAATTTTTGCCAAAGAAGTGAAAATATAACCTCAGGAAATGCTTTGTGAAAGCAGAAATATTGATATGTAGTACAAATTCATCCTTGATGCGTGAGGGAGTCTGTAATGTAATTGGTAAAAGTTGTACCTCTTAATGTTTTGGCAATAATAAAGAATGATAATCATTCTTGGCAATTATAACAAGGGAGTTCTTCACTGAAAAATCTTAAGAACTGAAATGATATCAATGTTAGAAATGTGGCGCCTTGACCATAGCTAAGTATAAAACTAATAACTCTCTGTATGTCTTTGTCCTTTGCAGATAACCTGCAGACTCCACAAATAACGTGCCTTTGGTTTTTTTTTTTCTTAAGGAAGTTTTGCCTTTGCTCTCTGAAATGTTTTAAGAATGGGTTTGACAATTTCATAATTTTCAGATAATATTTATATACTGAACATAATGGTACATTTTGACCTCTAACTATAGTATTAAACATCTGTTCTGAAAAAAGCCTGGTTGTACAAAGTTCAAAAATTGGATTAATTAGGGTTAAATTGAGGGCAAACAAGTGTAAATAAATGTTTTTGCCAAGAGATAATTATTTTTATATATAAAAAAAAACCAACCTTTTGAATGCATCTGTTATCTTGTTTTTGATTCCAAATGGTTTTTTTTTTAGGACATGATTGTATAATTTTGTCTGGTTCTATTTTTAACTTCATGCATGTTTTATTTTGAAAGCAATGTGATGCACAACCATGTTCCTCATATAGAAAGTCCCTGTGCAGGCTGGTGAATACATTTACATCACGATTTTCGGCCACTGTTGGAAATAAAACTGTCAATTTTTATTCTGTCACAATTGATAATATTTCAAGTCACAAATAAAAATAAATAGCTTTCAAACTAGCTCAACCAGTGCAAACTTAAGGTCTGTTGTGATAAATTAATGAAATGTGATATTTAATGTGTTAAGATTAGATTTCATTTGTTGAAATTTTTATTACAAAAGATGAAGCTTGAAATGTTAATTTTTACTCAATTATGTATTTTAGATAAATGATTATATATGTGATTATTTGTGGGAGTTTTTACATGATAAACGGTTCACATGAAATTGTTTATGTCTTTCATATTGTTTTTGTTATGTAGTATAATGTATGTAGGTTGATGAACTGTTTGTCAAGATAATATGCATATTTTCCAGGGGTAGATAATAAGGGAGAAGGAATTTACTGTAGGTTTGATTTTGAATATTTTTACTTGTATTTTAGTTCATTTTTGATTTGTATTTGGCAGGTATGATATTGAATATTATTTTAACCAATCAAGTTTTCAGTATAAAACATATGTCTTATTGTCATTTTGACAAAACAATGTTTTGCATGTTAAACTTTTTTGATATCTATCCTGTACCCAAACAAGAATGGCCAATTGACAGTTAAGGAACATTTTGTTTTAATGCCCAGACACATTGTATGGTAGCATAAATCTTTTGACCCCTATCAGACCATGTATTCCAAAATATCCTTTCACTTAAAAAAATAACATGATCTTGAGAATTCCACAAAACTATTGTAGATATCTGTATATAACAAGTTTATATTAAGTTGATAGTGTATATTTGGATATATTTTGTATTGAAGTAATCAGGTTACTGTATTAATACCATAGTTTGAAACCTATACTGTATACTTATAAAGGACACTTATGAGATTCTGGATGGGGTTTACACAATAGAGAATAATGCAAAAAAATGGAGCATATTATAAAGAATAGAGAAAAATGGCCTGAAAATTTTAGAATACAGAAATAAAGACCCCCCATCCAGTCCCTAACTCACGATTTACTGTATCACATGTAACTTCAGTAATCAGTCATGTTTAGAATATATTTTCAAATTAATAAGTTTGTTTCAAATTTTATATTTTTTAATCAAGGGAGAAAACTCCTAGGTAGGACAAACTTAAGTCCCTTCTTATACAAAGCAAAGACAGGAGCATTGTGTATTGCTTTGGTTATGACAATCATTTTGACTTCATAAGTGCCCTATACATTTATGGTAAAAAGGCAAATTGTAAGTTATGGTATGGAAATTCTTAATATCTAATAGTAAAATAGACATGCTCTTTCCATACGGACTTTTACAGAATTAATTGAAATGGGTGGGGTAGGGGTTTGGGCTCTTTGATAAAAAGATCTAAAATATAAGTACATTGAGAAGAAAAAGACTATAAAAATTATATTCCATTATATTCCATGCTTGTTCAGTGTATTAAATGTGGCTATTAAGTGAATGTACTTTTATAATATATCGCAATTAAATGGAGTAAAATTTGCAATTTCTAGTCATACATATTTGAATTAATGAATTGTTAGTATTGTATTTTATAGATTTATTTAATCACAAAATTAAATATTAATTTTCATTTTATGTTAAAAAGATGAGCTTAAAATGAGCCATTGATGAAGTATTTTGATGCGACTGTTATTGGGGTCTTAAATCTGATTATTTGAGTACTGACCAAAAATTTCAATGATAATGTGTGGGGTTACAAGAGCAGAAATTGTATATTTATTTTGTAATTACTGATCAAAATATTTTTGTGAATATGTGATTGAACAGATTTTTTTCAAGAAGGTCCTCAAAACAGTATTTTCTTATGTTATTAAATATTGTGTATTACTTTTACTTTCTAAATAATTTTTTAAGAATTCTGAAATCCAATCTACTTTGATACATAGTTTTAAATGTTGTAAATTGAGATTTTAAGGTGTTTGCTGCTGAAGTCAGAATAATATTATTTTTTTTTTTTTTTATATAAAAGTGATATTTTTCAACAAGCATTTGAAAAATAGATTTTTTTTATTTATAATTAATTGGGGTGATGAGGAAAATAGTTATCGATATTTTTTTTAACATTTTTACAATCAAATAGCACAAAAATTTCTAAAATTACAGTATTCAGTGCTCACTTTGAATGGTTCTGAAAGACATATTCATTTTTAGAAATGCAATTAAATGAGTAGGTTTTTGTATGCCAAATGTCGGAAGTTGAAGAAGGTTCCACATCTTGGCATCTTGTTCATCTGTTATTAACAGAGGACTATTTGTTAACATTGTACATTTGTTCATGTAATATAAAAGTTGATTAGGGAAAATAAGATTATTATATTTGTTAAGGATCTACATGTATGAATCTCATTGTTTCATAATACAAGGTTGATCTTTGACAATTTTACAATAAAAGCTGCCTGGAGACGAATTATAGTTAAATTACTGCTTCTCCTTTGAAAATTTTTTTTTTCATTAGTGTCCAAGAAAGCTTATGGAATCTGCATTTGAAATATGAAGAAATGGAGACATGGGGTTTACAATAAGACAGCAAAAAAATGACACATAAAATCCACCTAACAGCATATCTTTTTTAAGTTTTGGAATATGTCAAATATTCTATCTATACATAAAATACAAAATCTTTATATGCCCCCACCGCAGCAGAGGGGAAAAAAGTTTACCCTTGTCCATTTGTACATCCTCACGTCCAAAATTTAGTTTCCATTTTTAACTTTAGTTTCCCTCAACCAAATGTTATGAAACTTATACATAATGCTTATTATCACCAAACACAGATCAATTTGATTATGGGTGGTGTCACTTTTGTTGTTCCCTAGTTATGTCCCATTATAAATGGAAAATTTAGCAAATTTGCAGTTTCCATTCTCTTTTTTACTTTGCTACAATCAAATATTCTGAAACATAAACAAAATGCTTATCACTAATAAACACAGATCAAGTTCAAATATGGGTGGCGTCACTTCTGACGTTCTTGAGTTATGTGTGGCGTCACTTCTGCCGTTCTTGAGGTATGTCCCTCTATAAATGAAAAAATTGGCAAATTTGCAGCTTCCGCACTTTAACCTTACTTTGCCTCTACCCAATGTTATGAAACTCATACAACAATTTATTACCACCAAATACAGATCAAGTTCAAAAATTGGGGGTCGTCACTTTCACAGTTCTCAAATTATGTCCCTTTATAAATGGAAAAATTTCTAACTTTGCTGTTTCTGCAGTCTAACTTTAGTTTGCCCCAACCAAATGTTATGAAACTTATACACAATGCTTATTACCACTAAACACAGATCAAGCTCAAATTTGGGTAGCGTCACTTGTTCCGTTCTGGAGTTATGTCCCTTTATAAATGAAATATTGCTTAATTTTCTTTTATTGTATATTTACTGGTGGGGCATCTGGGTCCCATGGACTCGTTCTTCTTTTATTTACAATTTTCCTTTATTAAAATCCTTTCCCAGTATGGAGCAAGTGATAAAAAATGATTTTTTTAATTGTGGAAGCAACTACTGTTTCAAATAATATCGACATTTCTAGCATACTTACTGAGGAACAGAACTGTCAAATTCCTAAATCTGACTACTAGAGCATTAAAATAAAGTCAGGCTATAAAACAGGACAGTACTTGGCTCACGCATAGTTACTTGGGAACAGACATAATTCATTTAGTACCTTAACCCAGCAATTTGTGTATGAAAACTAGGTCAAGATCAGGTGAAAACAATAAGATGACAAGGTCTTGTCAATTTTCATACAAATCACGATTAGCCTGATAGATTGGCCAAGCTATAGAGATGCAACTGAAATAGCCACTACTATCACCATGGAAAATTTAAAAACCTTTCATACCTTATGTTGCAGTCAAGGGAAAACATTTGCAAATGAAATCAATCAGAAATTTATATTTTCATGTTCAGGTTTTAAAAGCGATTATTTGGCAAAAAGGACTTAATATAGTTGAATAGATACAACCTTTTATATAAAATTTATTTGACTATGTTTTATTAATGTCAAATTAATTGCCTAGACACCAATCTAGAGTTGTTTATTTTATGAATGAGTTAAACTGTTTGACCTGAGGTCAATCTACGTACACAACGTCATCAAACAATTGGTTCTTATTTTGACATTGGAAATTTACGGGAAAGTGCACATATTTTCGAAAGTTGTCTATGAACATAACAACAATTAAAATAAAAGTTTTATTTTAAAAATCATAAAGCACCAACAAATATTTTGTAATTTACTAGGTAAACAATTCATTTTACTGTATCACTTTAGCAATTACAAAAAAAAATAATTGTAACAAAATACAAATACTGAGCAGATTTCTATATTTACCATTGTAAATGTAAATATGATGTTAAACACTGAAAAATCAAATTTATAGTATTAACAAAATTTAAAGACCTGGTCATTTGACAGCAGTAACTGTAAATATTTCTGACTATGTATAAAATTCCTGACTGGATAGTAGATCTGAAATGAAAAAGTTCTAATGACTCTGTTTGGTACATTTTTCACTATATATTCAAATAAGACTTGATGAGGTTTTCAAAGTGTTTTAAAATCTCTAAATTGACAGCAGCATGCAATTTCCAAATGAGAACAACTATTTTATAAATGCTCTTTGTAAATTGAGATAACATAGTACATGTTAATACCTGATTCACTGTAACTGTAATGCGGAAGATATATAAATCTTGTAAAAATACTCATATTACAACATGTATTGCCATTTCTTTGACAACTTACAAAAATAATTATAAATTCTTCATACAAATACCTAAAAAAAAAACAACACTAAAAACTTGTCAAATTCTTTTGACAATAAAACAAATAACAAATTTTATAAATTCTCTTCATAGAAGTATTGCAAAAAATAAACAATAACAATATATAACAAAATGTGAATTTTCCAACAAATATGACCAGTATTATATACTTTAATAATCAGCTTTACATTCTTTTATTTCTTTATGTAATCTGAATCCTTCCACACAATCAACATTTTGCCATCTCTTGATTTATACACGATTTTTTTCAAAGACTCATACGCATGTATAATGGACAAAAACATCCATAATTTCCATCAAATAACAATATAAAACATTTAGCACAGGGGGAATAATAAAAAAAATATGTGTTTTGCATTACCTACTCCTTTTATTTGAAATAATCAAAAATACTTTTCTCTTTCGTATTTATTAAACATTTATTACAACCAACATAAAAAAAAATCTCAGAAAGTATTAATTTAGGTTCATAAAAATCAGTGGTAAAAATATCTTTTAAATAGAAAAAACTAAATTTACCAATTGCAGTAAAGTTGGTTTATTGGGTCATATGTTGTCTTGTTTACAGTTTGGTTTAGGAGACTTAAGCACTGTAATGGAGTAAGATCAAAATCAAAATTTGATAAATTCCTAGGAACCACAAGTGATGTCTATGAGAACATCCCCATTGGAGAGATTAAAAATTTCAATATCCTCAATGAAAATGTGATCTCCACTTCGATCCAACATGTCATCTGTACTTCCGTTTTCATATCCCTTTTTCATGTTTTCAAGTATCTTGAGTGGAGTTAAAATCTTATCTGTCATCTCCTTTGTTTTCACTAATAGACTTCCTTTTACCAACTGTTCTGGTTCAAGGTCAGTCGTACAACCTTCAAAACAGACATATACTTTTCTGTCATTAGACTTGAAGATTTCTGTCTGAAGAGCTTTTCGTTGTGGTTCACAGTAACGATCTAAAGGTTCAACATCGCCATGCAGAGTGAATGTTGGAATGAAGTCTTCTTGATCTTCCGGATAATAATCATCCATGTGTGAGTTAATGGTCATCCAAGCACGCTTAAGAATTTCTTCATCTGTCACACCATCTTCCATCTGGTAAACTGTATCTTCTTCCTGTAATTATAAATGCAACTTGAATATTACTGGGTTTGTACTTACATGAGCAACACGATGGGTGCCATATGTGGAGCAGGATCTGCTTACCCTTCCGGAGCACCTGAGATCAACCCCAGTTTTTGCTGAGGTATGTGTTGCTCAGTCTTTGGTTTTCTATGTTGTGTTTTGTATACTGTTGTTTGTCTTTTTGCCATGGCAACGTCAGTTTGTTTTCGACTTGTTAGTTTGAATGTCCCTTTGATATCTTTCGCCTCTTTTTTAATACAAATACTATTATAATCAAAATGTGAGGTTTTTTGGGAGACCTATCCTGTCACAATTTTTCGCATAATTAAAACATCACAAAAAGTTTCTGAATTTACAATACAAGTAATAGTTTTCTGAAAGATCTTGTTGACGTTTATAAGATGAAAACAATATTCTTTGGGAAATCAGAATGTAATGAGGAAGTTCTACAAAGGATCTGTCATATATTATTTCTGGCAACATAAAAAATAATGAGATGAGATGTTGTATGATTGAAACATTTGTCCACCTGAGTCCAAATGATGTAGATGTTAACAACTATAGGTCACCATACAGCCTTCAACAATGAAGTTTGTTTCAATTTCAAATGCACTGCAGAAGCGAAGACTAAAAACATTAAATCTCCAGTTCAAGACTTAAATGAACTCTTCCATTTGGTCGGCAAATAGCACTTTTTTTAAATCATAAACATTTGGAGGATACAAAAAACTACAGATAACAGCAATTACTATAAAAAAAAAATTTTCATTGATAAAGATTTGGAACTCTGACACACATATACACAATATTGGTATAGTATTGGAAAGTATAAAATTTATTTGTAAAAGCTTCAGAAACATAGACAAGAGTGTACACACTGAAATGTCTCACCTGTTTTACTGACCATTGATTTTATGTTGAAAGTCTTAAAGATAAAGGTTTTATTACAAGTATCACATAAACTTAAACATTCTTAAAGATCCATGACAATAAGGTGAAGGTCAGATAAAAACTGCCACACAGACATGTACACCTTACAATTATTCCATACACCAAATATAGTTAACCAATTGCTTATGGTAATCGAAAAAGACCAAAACACAAAACTTAATGTTAACTAATGAACCAGGGAAATGAGGTCAAGGTCAGATGATACTGGCTAGACAGACATGTACACCTTACAATCATTCCATATACCAATTATAGTTGACCAATTGCTATTAGTATTTGAAAAACAGACCAAAACACAAAAACTTAACATTAACCAATGAACCATGAAAATGAGGTCAAGGTCAAATGACACCAGCCAGAAAGACATGTACACCTTATAATCATTCCACACACTAAATATAGTTGACCTATTGCTTACAGTACTTGCAAAAACAGACCAAACACAAAAAATTAACAATGACCAATGAACCATGAAAATGAAGTCAAGGTCAGATGACACCAGCTAGACAGACATGTACACCTTACAATCATTCCATACACCAACTATAACTGACCTGTTGCTTACAGTACTTGAAAAATAGACCAAAACACAAAAACTTAACAATGACCAATGAACCATGAAAATGAGGTCAAGGTCAGATGACACCAGCTAGATAGACATGTACACCTTACAATCATTCCATACACCAACTATAGTTGACTTATTGCTCACAGTACTTGAAAAACAGACCAAAACACAAAAAAAATAAACAATGACCAATGAACCATGAAAATGAGGTCAAGGTCAGATGAAATCTACCAGTCTGACATGTACCCCTTACAATCATTCCATACACAACCTATAGTTGACCTGCTGCTTGTAGTATCTGAGAAACGAACCTAACTTTAACCTTGATCACTGATCCATGAATTGAGGTGAAGGTCAGATTAACCCTATCTGACGGACATGTAGATGTTGCAAGGAACCCATATAACAATGAAAGAACCTTAGTGAGCGCGCTCACATACCCCACGTCCCCACATTGTCATTGGAGAAATAAAATAAGTGTAAGAAAAAAAAATTGTATCAGAAAAAAAAATTGAATCATAATTTCCTGTCAATATGCACATCTACATAGTATGTCCTTATTATCTACACAGTTTCATGAAATTCTGTTGTGTGGTTTGAGAGGAGTTGCGATGACAAAAGGTTGCAGTAGTATATTGGGCAAATAAGTTCAAAGGGGCGTAACTCCTGGAAAAAAATTGAATCGTAATTTCCTGTCAATATGCACATCTACGTAGTATGTCCTTATTATCTGAAAAGGTTTCATGAAAATCTGTTGTGTGGTATGAGAGGAGTTGCGATGACAAAAGGTTGCAGTAGTATATTGGGCAAATAAGTTCAAAGGGGCGTAACTCCTGGAAAAAAAATTAAATCGTAATTTCCTGTTGATATGCACATCTACGTAGTATGTCCTTATTATCTGAAAAGGTTTCATGAAATTCTGTTGTGTGGTTTGAGAGGAGTTGTGATGACAAACTGTTGCAGTAGTACATTAAAGTAAATGAGTTCAAAGGGGCGTAACTCCTAGAAAAAAAATTGAATCGTAATTTCCTGTCGATATGCACAACTACATAGTATGTCCTTATTATCTAAAAAGGTTTCGTGAAATTCTGTTGTGTGGTTTGAGAGGAGTTGCGATGACAAGAAATAGGACTGACAGACTGATGGACTGACGGACAGACGGGTCAAAAACATTATACCCTCCGCAACTCGTTGCGTGGGGTATAAATATAGTTATCCTATTACTCATAAAAAGTGAGAAATTCACATGACAAAAAACTGTAATTTTTTCAAGTAGTCACTGAACCATGAAAATGAGGTCAAGGACAATGGGCATATAACAGACGGAAACTTTGTAACATAAGGTATCTGCATACAAGGTATGAAGCATCCAGGTCTTCAACTTTCTGAAATATAAAGCTTTATACAAATAGTTTACGCAGGCGCCAATGGATTGTTCGATTCATCTGAAAATTTGAGGGCTGATAGAACTTCACCTAATGAACATTTTTATCCCATGTCAGATTTGCTCTAAATGCTTTAGTTTTTGAGATATAAGCCAAAAACTGCATTTTGCCCCTATGTTCTATTTTTAGCCATAATGGCCATGTTTTTTTGACAAAACAGAAAATAAAACAAACTTTATTCTAGATACCCTAAGGATCGTTCAGCTTAAGTTTGGTTGGAATTGGTTCAGTAGTTTCAGAGGAGAAGATGTTTGAAATACTATACACCAGACGGATGACGAAGGACAATGATTGACGACGAACGCCAAGTGATGGCAAAAGCTCACCTTTCCTTCCTTTGGAAAGGTGAGCTAAAAATAACCTAAATAACCTAACTAACCTTCTCATGTATGATACCCATGGTCCATAAAAGCGTAGCATCTGTTTCCACAGCAACAACATCAGTACTTTCACTTTCCAAAGTATTTGATGTACTGATGAGGTCTCCAAATTTCAATCTTTGTTTATCTGCAAGTAATTTATACTTCATACCAACATACCATATTTTAAAAAAAATAATTCATTTCTGAAGTTACATTTTACAGTAATTTTTAATTTTGATATCTTTAAAAATATGGAATATTTTCATTTATTTTTCCCTTGCCTGAGGGAGATACGAAGATTTGATAACCCAAGAAAATTCATATTTCCCCAGAGCATAGCTCACGCTTTTTCATCTTCTTTGAGGCAAGACAAAAGGTGAATGCTGTTGCCGCTATGTCTCACCTGTAATGGTACAGACATCTGTTAATTGTTAAAGAACAACCAGATTAACTCTTCAGCTATGTTTTCTTTTATTTGGTTGTTGTCTCACTGAAGTTTCTGTTTTTATTCATTTTTAGAATTCAGCACATTTGTTTTTTGTCTGAAATTGTCTAGTGTATATATCTTAACTGTATATAGGCATAAAATGTTTTTATCTAAACATGTTTAAAACAAGAAATAATGTATAAATGTTTTATGGATTTTATCATGGTGATAAATGTACCTAAATTCCACTTCAGACCCTTTGTGGTAACAGAATTACATGGCTCTCCAACAGGAATTAGTCCACACCATTCTGCACAAGTCCGAGGATCCACTGAAATAGTATGTTGTCCCTAAAAAAAAACCCTATTTTTTTTACGACAATAATTACTCATTTTATTTATTACAATTATTTGTCAACTGCATTAAATCAGTTATGATTCTTAAACAATTTCTTCTCTGAAAATCTATTTTTTGTCGTATGTAAATTTATGAACATCATGTATTAATACAAGACTTTAAAAATTGGTTGAAAATTGGTGTGTAGAACAGTGATACACAAGTATAATTCAGCATATTCATGGCTTTTATCAAGTTAAACTTAAGGTAGAATATTTAAAGAGCTGTGAAAATAGAAAAATATTGGTTAAATATACTGTGGCTTCATTATTATTTGTTGGATACCAATGTTCGTGGATTTCATGAGTAAAGAGCTAGATGAATCAGGAATTTAAATGGTCAATGAAAAAAACAAATTTTCTATAGGCTTGAATACAGACTTTTGTAAAACCACCAAATCAAATATCCACAAAAATACAATTTTCCCTCAATCCACGAAAAAAAAAAAGAAACCATAGTATCTGGATTTTGAATTGATGGTGCGACATCTTTATAAGCTGTACTTACAGGTTGCAATAGAAATGCCACAGTATCAACTGATATAAGGATGATCTGAGCATCAGTTATCTCACTGGCTTCATATAGACTGTTTATGTTGGCAAACATATGGTCAAGTCTTCCACCAAATGATCCCAACACAATAACAGATTTTATCTGCAAAAAAAAGTTTAAACATATATATGGATCAGTTTATGCTGATAATAGATGTTGTGAGTTTGAACCCTGCTCCTGTCAAACAATCTCCATAGAAATGAGATGTGCCAATGCTAATACAACTGCATACCAAATATCATTGACCTACCACTAGTGGGTCACCATAAATTGACCTAATCACAAACTAATACATGAAAACTAAGCACAGTTTCAAAGTCAATAAACCATGACTGAGGGGGCCAGGCCAAATAATCTCCATGGAAATGAGATATGCAAATGTAATGAGATATGCAAATGTTTATACGACTGCATACCAAATATCATTGACCTACTACTAGTGGTTCACCATAAACTGATCTAATCACAAACTAATACATCAAAACTAAGGAAAATTTTCAAAGTCAATAGACCATGACTGAAGGGGCGGGGCCAAATAATCTCTATGGAAATGAGATATGCCAATGCTTATACAACTGCATACCAAATATCATTTACCTACCACTAGTGGTTCCTCATAAACTTACCTAATCACAAACTAATATATGAAAACTAAGCAAAAGTTTCAAAGTCAATAGACCATGACTGAAGGGGCGGGGCCAAATAATCTTCATGGAATTGAGATATGCCAATGCTTATACAACTGCATACTAAATATCATTGACCTACCACTAGTGGTTCCCCATAAACTGACCTAATCACAAACTGATACATGAAAACTAAGCAAAAGTTTCAAAGTCAATAGTCCATGACTGAAGGGGCGGGCCAAATAATCTTCATGGAAATGAGATATGCCAATGCTTATACAACTGCATACCAAATATCATTGACCTACCACTAGTGGTTCACCATAAACTGACCTAATCACAAACTAATACATGAAAACTAAGCACAGTTTCAAAGACAATAAACCATGACTGAGGGGGCCAGGCCAAATAATCTCCATGGAAATGAGATATGCAAATGTTTATACGACTGCATACCAAATATCATTGACCTACCACTAGTGGTTCACCATAAACTGATCTAATCACAAACTGATACATGAAAACTAAGCAAAGTTTCAAAGTCAATAAACCATGACTGAGGGGGCGGGCCAAATAATCTCCATGTTGATGAGATGTGCCAATGTTAATTCAACTGCATACCAAATATCACTGACCTACCACTAGTGGTTCACCATAAACTAACCTAATCACAAACTAATACATGAAAACTAAGCAAAGTTTCAAAGTCAATAAACCATGACTGAGGGGGCCAGGCCAAATAATCTCCATGGAAATGAGATATGCAAATGTTTATACGACTGCATACCAAATATCATTGACCTACCACTAGTGGTTCACCATAAACTGATCTAATCACAAACTGATACATGAAAACTAAGCAAAGTTTCAAAGTCAATGAACCATGACTGAGGGGGCGGGCCAAATAATCTCCATGTTGATGAGATGTGCCAATGTTAATTCAACTGCATACCAAATATCATTGACCGTCCACTAGTGGTTCACCATAAACTGACCTAATCACAAACTAATACATGAAAACTAAGCAAAGTTTCAAAGTCAATAGACCATGACTGAAGGGGCGGGGCCAAATAATCTCCATGGAAATGAGATGTGCCAATGCTTATACAACTGCATACCAAATATCATTGACCTACCACTAGTGGTTCCCCATAAACTGACCTAATCACAAACTAATACATGAAAACTAAGCAAAAGTTTCAAAGTCAATAGACATGACTGAAGGGGCGGGGCCAAATAATCTTCATGGAATTGAGATATGCCAATGCTTATACAACTGCATACTAAATATCACTGACCTACCACTAGTGGTTCCCCATAAACTGACCTAATCACAAACTGATACATGAAAACTAAGCAAAAGTTTCTAAGTCAATAGACCATGACTGAAGGGGCGAGCCAAATAATCTTCATGGAAATGAGATATGCCAATGCTTATACAACTGCATACCAAATATCATTGACCTACCACTAGTGGTTCCCCATAAACTGACCTAATCACAAACTAATACATGAAAACTAAGCAAAGTTTCAAAGTCAATAAACCATGACTGAGGGGGCCGGGCCAAATAATCTCCATGGTGATGAGATGTGCCAATGTTAATTCAACTGCATACCAAATATCATTGACCTACAACTAGTGGTTCACCATAAACTAGACCTAATCACAAACTAATACATTGTTGACGCATGCTGCCGGAAACAGCATACCTATGTCTCGTTTTTTTACTCTGTCAAGGCGAGACAAAAATGCTGTTATGACATAGCTAAGAGTGCTGAAAGTAGCATTAAACACCAACAATCGTTCAATCAATCATTTTGATAATAGATACATGTGTCATGAAGAAATTAGTTTTATGGATTTTTTAAATACTGTTTGGTTAGCATCCTTGCTGATTTGCACATCAGCCCTCCACTCTCCAGAGCTTTGGTACTGATATGATTTAAAAATATATATATATTCTCAATGAAATTTTTCTTTTTTTTGTTAAAATTAAAATATTTTTTGACATAAAAAGTTGTTTTTTTGATAAAATTAATGAATAAAGGAATGAAGAGTTCACACAACTGAAATCTGTTTGAATGTATGTTATGTCCAAACTATGTAAACAATATCTACCTCTTTTTCCTTGATCTTATCAGATGCTACTTTTAAAGCTTTAGTGAAATCTGTAGAATTCTCATCTGATGTTTCTACTATTTCTACAGTCTATAAATACAAGAAAATTCAATATTATTCTACAACAAGAAATTCTGACCACTGATCTTATATCTTAAGGGCTTGTTCCACCTTTTTTTTTATTACAACTCAGGGTCATTTTTTGTTTACATGATCCCAAATTCCTTTTTATTATAGATTCAGAAGACTTTAATAGACCTTTAAACTAGGTGTATCAATACAAATTGAATGCCACCACTGGCAGCCTTATCACAAAAAGCTGATCCACAACCACACCAAAATACAAATGTTACCTGCAAGACATCATTATACATTTATTTGCCTAAAATTTGCTCCAGATCTTCAGGCATTCCAAAAAACGTTCAGACAAGTGCGATTTTCTCAACATTTTTTAATTCTAGAAGCATTATTTAGTTTTAGGTCACCTCAACCTGAACTTCATCATTATACACATACCAGTATGCACCAAAAAAATAGATAAATATGTCATTTTAGAAAGGATTAGGGCCATTAAGGCCCAGTTTTGGCCCAAGAAAATACAATGTTTGACAACTATTCCAAGTTGCCACATAATGTTTGGTAATGCATATAGTCAAGAAATGTAAATGAAAAACATAAGATTTTTTATCTGATAACGTCACAATTACGTCATTATATGTACCGTTTTCATGAAAACAATGAAAATACAGAATTTATGTACTTTTCCATCGTTATTTCCATTGTGGAAACACCATGCGCAGCCAAGAAACAACAAAATAATTTCAGAGAAGATTTATTATAACTATTGACATAATCTCACCAAAAACAAGAAATGATTGTAACAGGATGCTGTTACGAAGTCTCCCAAACGAAGCTCCCATAATTCGTATTCCCAGGGTCGCCTGACATTGGGCAAAGTCCAGTGAAAATTGGTTTGGTCCAGTAAAGTTATATGCATAAGGGATGCCAGGGGACTAACCCTGTATATCATTCAATTCATCTTGGCATAACAAACCAGAATATATATGGTTTAGGGGTGGGGATCTCGACCATTTACAAGATACTAGAACATTGGGGGTGGGGGGAACCCCTGGGGACTGACCCTATCCGTCATTCAAATGTTCGAGACATGTCCAACAGGAATATATATGGTTTAGGGGTGGGGATCTCGCCCATTTACAAGATATTAGAACATTGGGGGTGGTGGAACCCCTGGGGACTGACCGTATACGTCATTCAAATGTTCGAGACATGACAAATAGGAATATACATGGTTTAGGGGTGGGGATCTCGACCATTTACAAGATATTAGAACATTCTCAAATGGCAGGGGGTGGGGGTGAACCCTGGGGACTTACCCTGTATTTCATTTGATGTGCTTTATCATGACAAACCAGAATATATATGGTTTAGGGGTGGGGATCTCGACCATTTACAAGATATTAGAACTTTCTCAAATGGCAGGGGGTCGGGATGACCCCTGGGGACTAACCCTGTATATCATTCAAACCATCTTCGCATGACAAACCAGAATATATATGGTTTAGGGGTGGGGATCTCGACCATTTACAAGATACCAGAACATTGGGGGTGGGGGGAACCCCTGGGGACTGACCCTATACGTCATTCAAATGTTCGAGACATGTCAAACAGGAATATATATGGTTTAGGGGTGGGGATCTCGACCATTTACAAGATATTAGAACATTGGGGGTGGGGGGAACCCCTAGGGACTGACTGTATACGTCATTCAAATGTTCGAGACATGAGGAATAGGAATATATATGGTTTAGGGGTGGGGATCTCGACCATTTAAAAGATATTAGAACTTTCTCAAATGGCCGGGGGTCGGGATGACCCCTGGGGACTAACCCTGTATATCATTCAAACCATCTTCGCATGACAAACCAGAATATATTTGGTTTAGGGGTGGGGATCTCGACCATTTACAAGATATTAGAACTATCTTAAATGGCAGGGGGTGGGGGCGACCCCCGGGAGACAAACCCTGTATTTCATTTGATGTGCTTGACCATGACAAACCAGAATATATATGGTTTAGGGGTGGGGATCTCGGCCATTTACAAGATATTAGAAATTTCTTAAATGGCAGGGGTTCGGGATGACCCCTGGGGACTAACCCTGTATTTCATTTTATGTGCTTTACCATGACAAACCAGAATATATATGGTTAAGGGGTGGGGATCACGACCATTTACAAGATACCAGAACATTGGGGCTGGAGGGAACCCCTGGGGACTGACCCTATACGTCATTCAAATGTTCGAGACATGTCAAACAGGAATATATATGGTTTAGGGGTGGGGATCTCGACCATTTACAAGATATTAGAACATTGGGGGTGGGGGGGAAACCCTAGGGACTGACCGTATACAACATTCAAATGTTGGAGACATGAGGAATAGGAATATATATGGTTTAGGGGTGGGGATCTCGACCATTTAAAAGATATAAGAACTTTCTCAAATGGCCGGGGGTTCGGGATGACCCCTGGGGACTAACCCTGTATATCATTTAAACCATCTTCGCATGACAAACCAGAATATATATGGTTTAGGGGTGGGGATCTCGACCATTTACAAGATATTAGAACTATCTCAAATGGCAGGGGGTGGGGGCGACCCCTGGGGACTAACCCTGTATTTCATTTGATGTGCTTTACCATGACAAACCAGAATATATATGGTTTAGGGGTGGGGATCTCGGCCATTTACAAGATATTAGAACTTTCTCAAATGGCAGGGGGTCAGGATGACCCCTGGGGACTAACCCTGTATGTCATTCAAACCATCTTCGCATGACAAACCAGAATATATATGGTTTAGGGGTGGGGATCTCGACCATTTACAAGATATTAGAACTTTTTTAAATGGCATGGGGTGGGGGTGACCCCTGGGGACAAGCCCTGTATTTCATTTGATGTGCTTTATCATGACAAACCAGAATATATATGGTTTAGGGGTGGGGATCTCGACCATTTACAAGATATTAGAACTTTCTCAAATGGCAGGGGGTTGGGATGACCCCTGGGGCCTAACCCTGTATATCATTCAAACCATCTTAGCATGACAAACCAGAATATATATGGTTTAGGGGTGGGGATCTTGACCACTTACAAGATATAAGAACTTTCTTAAATGGCATGGGGTGGGGGTGACCCCTGGGGACTAACCCTGTATTACATTTGATGTGCTTTATCATGACAAACCAGAATATATATGGTTTAGGGGTGGGGAGCTCAACCATTTACAAGATATTAGAACTTTCTCAAACGGCAGGGGGTCAGGATGACCCCTGGGGACTAACCCTATATATCATTCAAACCATCTTAGCATGACAAACCAAAATATATATGGTTTAGGGGTGGGGATCTTGACCACTTACAAGGTATTAGAACTTTCTTAAATGGCAGGGGATGGGGGTGACCCCTGGAGACTACTCCTGTATTTCATTTAATGGGCTTTATCATTTAGAACATTTTCAATTAAAAAGATTGTGTCTATCACAAACGATTTTCAATTTATAATCATTTGAAAATTTTTAAAAATAAAATCCCATAGGGTTCTTTAGTAAAACCCTCTTCTCTTTTTGCCCCTCAAAGTACCCCTTTATAAACCCCATTGCATAAACAAAACCCTGATTGCACCACTAAACATGTTAGTCTAACATATTGTGAAACCCCAAGTTAATCTGACAAGCGGTTTTGGAGAACGGGTGCGGACAAGTTCAAATTTAAAAGCGGCGGAAGAAGAAGAAGAAGAAATGATTGTAACAGGATGCTGTTACGAAGTCTCCCAAACAAAGCTCCCATAATTCGTAATTCCCAGGGTCGCCTGACATTGGGCAACGTCCAGTGAAAATTGGTTTGGTCCAGTAAAGTTATATGCATTAGGTGATGCCTGGGAACTAACCTTATATATCATTCAAATCATCTTGGCATGACAAACCAGAATATATATGGTTTAGGGGTGGGGATCTCGACCATTTACAAGATACTAGAACATTGGGGGTGGGGAGGAACCCCTGGGGACTGGCCCTATACGTCATTCAAATGTTCATTACATGACGAACAGGAATACATATGGTTTAGGGGTGGGGATCTCAACCATTTACAAGATATTATAACATTGGGGTGGGGGGAACCCCTGGGGACTGACCATATACATCATTCAAATGTTCGAGACATGACAAATAGGAATATATATGGTTTAGGGGTGGGGATCTCAACCATTTACAAGATATTAGAACTTTCTCAAATGGCAGGGGGTCGGGATGACCCCTGGGGACTAACCCTGTATATCATTCAAACCATCTTCGCATGACAAACCAGAATATATATGGTTTATGGGTGGGGATCTTGACCACTTAGAAGATATTAGAACTTTCTTAAATGGCAGGGGTGGGGGTGACCCCTGGGGACTAACTCTGTATTTCACTTGATGTGCTTTATCATGACAAACCAGAATATATATGGTTTAGGGGTGGGGATCTCGACCATTTACAAGATATTAGAACTTTCTCAAATGGTAGGGGGTCGGGATGACCCCTGGGGACTAACCCTGTATATCATTCAAACCATCTTAGCATGACAAACCAGAATATATATGGTTTAGGGGTGGGGATCTTGACCACTTACAAGATATTAGAACTTTCTTAAATGGCAGGGGGTGGGGGTGACCCCTGGGGACTAACCCTGTATAACATTTGATGTGCTTTATCATGACAAACCAGAATATATATGGTTTAGGGGTGGGGATCTCGACCATTTACAAGAAATTAGAACTTTCTCAAATGGCAGGGGGTCGGGATGACCCCTGGGGACTAACCCTATACATCATTCAAACCATCTTAGCATGGCAAACCAGAATATATATGGTTTACGGGTGGGGATCTTGACCACTTACATGATATTAGAACTTTCTTAAATGGCAGAGGGTGGGGGTGACCCCTGGGGACTAACCCTGTATAACATTTGATGTGTTTTATCATGACAAATCAGAATATATATGGTTTAGGGGTGGGGATCTCGA